ATGGAAGACATACAAGACCACTGATAATCTCCCTCGATCTGGGGCTCCACGCAAGATCTCACCCCGTGGGGTCAAAATGATCACAAGAACAGTGAGCAAAAATCCCAGAACCACACGGGGGGACCTAGTGAATGACCTGCAGAGAGCTGGGACCAAAGTAACAAAGCCTACCATCAGTAACACACTACGCCGCCAGGGACTCAAATCCTGCACTGCGAGACGTGTCCCCCTGCTTAAGCCAGTACATGTCCAGGCCCGTCTGAAGTACATTTGGATGATCCAGAAGAGGATTGGGAGAATGTCATATGGTCAGATGAAACCAAAATATAACTTTTTGGTAAAAACTCAACTCGTCATGTTTGGAGGACAAAGAATGCTGAGTTGCATCCAAAGAACACCATACCTACTGTGAAGCATGGGGTTGGAAACATCATGCTTTGGGGCTGTTTTTCTGCAAAGGGACCAGGACGACTGATCCGTGTAAAGGAAAGAATGAATGGGGCCATGTATCGTGAGATTTTGAGTGAAACCCTCCTTCCATCAGCAAGGGCATTGAAGATGAAACGTGGCTGGGTCTTTCAGCATGACAATGATCCCAAACACACCGCCCGGGCAACGAAGGAGTGGCTTCGTAAGAAGCATTTCAAGGTCCTGGAGTGGCCTAGCCAGTCTCCAGATCTCAACCCCATAGAAAATCTTTGGAGGGAGTTGAAAGTCTGTGTTGCCCAGCGACAGCCCCAAAACATCACTGCTCTAGAGGAGATCTGCATGGAGGAATGGGCCAAAATACCAGCAACAGTGTGTGAAAACCTTGTGAAGACTTACAGAAAACGTTTGACCTGTGTCATTGCCAACAAAGGGTATATAACAAAGTATTGAGAAACTTTTGTTATTGACCAAATACTTATTTTCCACCATCATATGCCAATAAATTCATTAAAAATCCTACAATGTGATTTTCTGGATTTTTTTTCCTAATTTTGTCTGTCATAGTTGACGTGTACCTATGATGAAAATTACAGGCCTCTCTCATCTTTTTAAGTGGGAGAACTTGCACAATTGGTGGCTGACTAAATACTTTTTTTCCCCACTGTATATATAGTGTATGTGTGTGCATACACACACGGCACGCACACAGCTGTGTGTCCCCAGGGCCTAGGCCGTGTTTTAGACCATGCCCACACATGTCAGGACCAGAGCATGTGGGGAGGTTAGGGAGGCCTCTGGCATGTTACAGACATCCAGCCCTTGCTCTCCATCTCTCTCGCTCTCGTTTGCCATCTCTCACTCTCATCTCCATCTCTCACGCGCTCTCTCTCTCTCTCCATCTCTAGACTCTGCTCTCCCCACTGTCTGACTCTCACTGGGTTACTGGGAATATGTGGATACTGCACTGCAGTACAGAGATCACTCCCTCCTTCCATCTCTACCCCCTCCCTCCCTCGATCTTCCTCCTGTCTACTCCCTCCCTCCTAGCAGGTCATGCCAGAGTGTGTGTGCTAGTGTGTGGCGTGCCTGTGAGGGCCTGAGAGGAGAGAGAGGCTCCTTCCTTCTCAGATACACCGCACACACACACGTTAGCAGTCATATGGCAGTGTGAGACTTTATTTACAGGCTGGTGCACAAAGCTGATGTACATCGTGTTCAAGATGGCTGACTGTGATTGGCTCTCTTGTGACTGGAACACTAAGCTATGGTTGGTTCTCTGGGTGGAAGGCTAGCTCCTTATTTATGTTCCAGAGACCCCCAGAGCTTTCTCTTTCACTCCCTCTCCTCTCTCTTTGTCTGAATAGTTTCTTTCCCTCTGTCTTTTACTCTTGCCCTGTCGTTCTCTCTCTCTGTCTCTCTCTCTTTCCATCTGTCAGAGTTCTGGAATTGATGATGGAGAGTTTTACGTTGCTTAGCAACTGCTGGTTGCCATGGGAACTCAGCAGAACTCTCGGCGACAGGGAAAAATGAAATGGATTAAAGGAGAAATAAAAAATATGATGAGAACGGAGGAGGAGAGGAAATGGTGAAGGGGACATTAAACAAGAGCGATAAAGGCCAGATGCTAGATGGGTCCACGACCCAGAATGCACTGGGGCTGCCCGAGGCCATCGGGCATGGCTTGTGGGGTGGGGCAGTCTTAATAGTCTACAGTGGCCTCTTCGTGCCTCTCCTCCTCACCATATCTCCTACCCATGTCTCACACTTTCCTATCCAGATCTCCATACATTTTCTCTCCTCATGTCTCCCCTACACTTGTCTTCAATTCCTCACCATGTCTCCTATCCTTTCTTCTCTCCTTCCTCACCATGTCTCCTATCCTGTCTTCTCTCCCTCCTCACCATGTCTCCTATCCTGTCTTCTCCCCTTCCTCACCATGTCTCCTATCCTGTCTTCCCTCCTTCCTCACCATGTCTCCTATCCTGTCTTCTCCCCTTCCTCACCATGTCTCCTATCCTGTCTTCTCTCCTTCCTCACCATGTCTCCTATCCTGTCTTCTCTCCTTCCTCACCATGTCTCCTATCCTGTCTTCTCCCCTTCCTCACCATGTCTCCTATCCTGTCTTCTCCCCTTCCTCACCATGTCTCCTATCCTGTCTTCTCCCCTTCCTCACCATGTCTCCTATCCTGTCTTCTCCCCTTCCTCACCATGTCTCCTATCCTGTCTTCTCTCCTTCCTCACCATGTCTCCTATCCTGTCTTCTCTCCTTCCTCACCATGTCTCCTATCCTGTCTTCTCCCCTTCCTCACCATGTATCCTATCCTGTCTTCTCCTTCCTCACCATGTCTCCTTGCCCCCTTCTCTCTTCAGGTGCGAAGAACACCCCCCCCCCCCCCCCCCCCCCCCCTCTCTCTCTCTCTCTCTCTCTCTGCCGCTGCTTGCTGGTATGATGATGATGATCACTGTTTGTCTTGTTATTGTGTCTGCTCATGCGTATGCTGATGTGTGTGGATGGCAGGGGGCAGCACAGTGGTGTGTGTGTGTGTGTGTGTGTGTGTATCAAAGTGTTGGCAGTTGTGTGCGTGAGCATGTGTGTCAGGGTAGTGGCTCATTGACTGGTGTCTCTGTGCTCCAGCAGACAGGTCTAATTGCTGAGGGACTGGGTGGATTAATTGGCCGGTCGATCAAACACACACAACACTGTTTTGGACCGACAGAGAGAGGGGGCACTGGAACCAGTGTATGTGAGTTTGACAGAGCAGTGTTGGCTCTGTCTCACTGCTGCTCTCCCTCCAAACCACTGTTTCCCTAAATGACAATATCCAGCCTCTCTTCCCTCATCCAGCTCTTTCTCTTCCCACTTCTCTCCTTATACCCCCATTCCTCCCCTCTTTTCTCACTCTCTGTCTGTCTGTCTGTCTGTCTGTCCAGCTCTTGGCATCAGGCCCATGTGTTGTATTAACTCTGGTGTGTCATGAATGTGTTCTCAGACAGATGGAGAGGCCGTGTGTGGTTTGGCGACGTGTGTACTGTGCCTAGATGTCGTTTTCATGCTTGTGTAGATGTTGATGGCTCGCAAGCTGACTGAGGATTGGTGCGGTGTGAGGAGGTGGCAGAGTGTGTCAAAGAGCAATATACTGGCTAGAATGTGAGCTGCAGCCTTAGAGGAGGAAGAGAGGAGGGAGGGGAGGGTAGAAAGAGAGGGGGAGGGAGAGAAGAGGGGGGAGAGAAGGAGGGGAGAGGGAGAAAGAGGAGGGGAGAGGGAGAGGAGGGCGAGAGGAGAGAGTGAGCGAGGAGGGAGAATGATGGAGTTAGGGAGAACGACTGATCTTGAGCGGCGTACGCAGAGGGAGTGGTGGGAGGGAGTGACGCGCCAGTTGGGGGAGGGAAAGAGTACGGGGGCGGGAAAGGATTGATGGAGAGGTAGGAGGAGACATCAGTGTTTTTTACACTGTCAGGTGTTCCTGATTGATGACCACTGTGTGGTAGCAGACTAGCCAGTGTGTGTGATGCATAATACATGGACTGACCTTTACTGTGGTGGAGTCGGTGTGTGTGTTTGAGCTTTTAGATGCGGGGGGGTGTGGTCTGTGTGTTTTGTGTGAGTGCACTTTTTTGATGTATTGCTTCACAGGCTTATAATGAAATTGCAGGAGGGAGACAGTTTGGCTATCTGAGTGTGTGTGAGGGGAAGAGAAAGTGTGGAGAGAGAGAGGAAGGGAGGAAACGAATGTGTGATCCGGAGTAATGATAATCTTAAATAAACTGACGTGCCTGTGTTTTATGTGTAGTCTGAAGTAGCTCGTGTTGGCAGGGATATTGGTCGTGTTGAAATATCTATGGTACCAAAGTGCTGCTAACCCTTCATCGAGTCCCTCTTGTTGGCCGCGATGACAAAATGACAATGTACAAAATTGAGCAGTTCTAAGCTAATTTTCTACACATTTTGCTGTGGGTTATGCTATCTGAGTGACTCAAACAATATAACAAAACCAATTGGGGCCCCATGCTATGACAAAATACACCTGAATGTATAATTGTTTTAATTTTAGATTCTCCCTTACCGTCTAGCTTTTATTTTGGCGATTGTTAGTTCTCAGATGATCTTAATAAAAAATATATAGGTCCATTTATCTTTTCTACGTACTTTATATCTTGTTCCATCCTGAAAAGTGTTTATAATATTATAATTTTTTACATGGTTTTACTAGTTGGACATGGGCGGCCTGAAAAACACTTAGGCGGCCCGCCCAATACTTTTCTATGCTGAAGAAACCCTGCTCATATACGTTTTTTTTTCCTGGTTTAGTACGTGTGTGTCAGTGTATGTGTCCGTGTGTGGGAGGTTTTAGCATTGACACACACTTCCTGAATAGTGACGAGATGAAAGGACAGAACAGAGAGCGGGAGAGAGCAGGCGGGTTGTCTACACGGATATTGAAGGACAGACATTGAGCAAGAGAGACTGGGAGAGAGAGAGAGAGAGAGAGAGATGTTTGAAGCTTCCTACATCATGGGCCTGGTCCAGAAGAAACAGCTTAGGCTAAAAGGACTGGAGTGAAAGAGTGGAGATGGATGGAGGAGAGGAGACGTGTGTGTGTGTGTGTGGACAGTGTTGAGCTGTGAGTTAGGGAGACTTAATCAGCAGGTTATATTTAACCAGTTAAGGTGATTCCAGTAATGACACAATGCGCAGAGAAGCCTATGTCTCATCCTAGGAGTGTGTGTATGTGGGCGTTTGGTGTGTGTGTGTTTTGTGAGAGGCCATTTGTTGATTTAGCTGGTGAGTGCTGAAGTGTCCTGTGATTAAGGTTAATCCCTGACTCCAGTGATGTAAAATCTCTCGCTCGCTCTTCGATCCTTATTCCACTGAAGAACACCCACCAAACATTGTGCGCTTTGCATGCACAAATGCCCTCTCTGCAAACAAGGATCCTCTCTACACACTAACTCTGTGTGTGAGTTTGTGCGCGTTTACAAATATATATGCATGTGTACAATCGTTTGTGTGTGTGCAGAGGTCGCAGGAAGGCAGAATCCTTGTTCCCTGGTGTGTCTGTGTGCCACTGACAGGAACAGAGGAGGAAAGGGAGGGGAGGGGCTTGGGCTTATGAGGAAATGATGCTTAGGGTCTGGAGAAAAGATAAAGAGGAGAGGGAAGGGGGAACAGGAAATAGTTTGTTCTCTCAATTCAAAGGGCTTTATTGGCATGGGAAACGTATGTTTACATTGCCAAAGCAAGTGAAATAGACAATAAACAAAATGTATACCGGTTCCACAGTAATATCACGGTATCAACACCTCATGATACTGATGATTCCAACATCTTAGAATGCTGTAGTATCGTTTAATATGATACTAACACATTTTTCTGGACCTACCGAACTAAAGAACCCGCTGGCGCCTGTTATAAAATGTTAATAAAGTCTGTTTTGTTTATAAATTCAGCTGAATTTTTTAAGCAACTGCAACTAGTCTCTTGTATGCACCGGGCCAATAATGTCCACTTCACTTTCATGCGCATATCACGCATGGCAGTTGTAATCAGCCGGCCGGCAGCCCATCCCCTAGCAGCCATCACTCACCTGATTCCCTCTGGCCACTCTATTTTTTAAAATATAATTTAGCCATGATGGCAAGCGGGGATGCAGTCCCTAATTAGTCTTCTGTTACATGTGTACATTTGATGTATTGGAGCAGTGCAGAGAGCTAGCAAAGTTGATACATTGTATCATTTCATCCCTGGTATAACCAAGAGCACAGGCCAGTCTGAGTAGACTGCAATTTGTCTGTCTCGTTGAGTGCCAGAGAGGACAAATAGAGCACAGCTTCTTGACAGGCATGCTTGCAGCTTTACAGCAAAGAAAAGGGTGTGTCTCTAGCTCAAACGGTAAAAGAAATATGACCCATATTACCGGCGCTACCTTTTTTCTTCCTATGCGATTTTGCGCGCATTTAATTTAATTTCACAAACCATGTCGCGGGCCGTTTTATACTAATCGCGGGTCGCTAATTATTGATTTGACAAACATTGTTCAGTCATGTTACTTAGCTAACAACCTGCTAACTTGACAGGATGTCTAGGCAAATTTGATTGGCACAGGAAGAAAGGAAAAAGGTCTGCTTCCCTGCTCATGAGATGTGTTTTAAAGATACAGTGCGTTCAGAAAAGTATTCAGACCCCTTGACTTTTTCCACATTTTGTTACGTTACAGCCTTATTCTAAAATGGATTAAATATTTTAATTTTTTTCTCATCAATCTACACACAGTACCCCATAATGACAAAGCAAAAGCAGTTTTTTAAAAACATTTTTGCACATTTATAAAATAAAATAAACATATCACATTTACATAAGTATTCAGACCCTTTACTCAGTACTTTGTTGAAGCACCTTTGGCAGCAATTAGAGCCTCGAGTCTTCTTGGGTATGATGCTACAAGCTTGGCACACCTGTATTTGGGGAGTTTCTCCCATTCTTCTCTGCAGATCCTCTCAAGCTCTGTAAGGATGGATAGGGAGCGTCGCTGCACAGCTATTTTCACGTCTCTCCAGAGATGATAGATCGGGTTCAAGTCCGGGCCCTGACTGGGCCACTCAGAGACTTGTCCCGAAGCCACTCCTGCGTTGTCTTGGCTGTGTGCTTAGGGTTCTTGTCCTGTTGGAAGGTGAACCTTCGCCCCAGTCTGAGGTCTTGAGCGCTCTGGAGCAGGTTTTCATCAAGGATCTCTCTGCACTTTGCTCCGTTCATCTTTCCCTCTGTCCTGACTAGTCTCCCAGTCCCTGCCGCTGAAAAACATCCCCACAGCATGATGCTACCACCACCATGTTTCACCGTAGGCATGGTGCCAGGTTTCCTCCAGACATGACGCTTGGCATTCAGGCCAAAGAGTTAAATCTTAGTTTCATCAGACCAGATAAACTTGTTTCTCATGGTGTGAGAGTCTTTAGGTGCTTTTTGGCAAGCTTCATGCGGGCTGTCATGTGCCTTTTACTGAGGAGTGGCTTCCGTCTGGCCACTCTACCATAAAGGCCTGATTGGTGGAGTGCTGCAGAGATGGTTGTCCTTCTGGAAGGTTCTCCAATCTCCACAGAGGAACTCTGGAGCTCTGTCAGAGTGACCATTGGGTTCTTGGTCACCTTCCTGACCAAGGCCCTTCTCCCCCGATTGCTCAGTTTGGCCAGGCGGCCAGCGCTAGGAAGTCTTGGTGGTTCCTAACTTCTTCCATTTAAGAGTGATGGAAGCCAATGTGTTCTTGGGGATTTTCAATGCTGCAGAATTGTTTTGGGTACCCTTCCCCAGATCTGTGCCATGACACAATCCTATCTCTGAGTTCTACGGACAGTTCCTTCGTCCTCATGGCTTGGTTTTTGCTCTGACATGCACTGTCAACTGTGTGCCTTTCCAAATCATGTCCAATCAATTGAAGGGCAGGATGCTAGGCCACTGAATTTTTATCCCTGTGATATCGCGATACTACTCGGTAAATAAACAAGGGTCAATGAACAATTAGATATTAACAGACCATTACACTCACAAAAGTTTTTAAAAGAATATAGACATTTCAAATGTTACACTGAACAAAAATATAAACGCAACATGCAACAATTTCAAAGATTTTACTGAGTTACAGTTCGTATAAGAAAATGAATCAATTGAAATTAATGAATTAGGCCCTGATCTATGGATTTCACATGACTGGGAATACAGATATGTACAGTGAGGGGAAAATAGTATTTGATCCCCTGCTGATTTTGTATGTTTGCCCACTGACAAAGAAATTATCAGTCTATAATTTTAATGGTATGTTTATTTGAACAGTGAGAGACAGAATAACAACAAAAAAATCAGAAAAACACACATCAAAAATGTTATAAATTGATTTGCATTTTAATGAGGGAAATAAGTATTTGACCCCTCTGCAAAACATGACTTAGTACTTGGTGGCAAAACCCTTGTTGGCAATCACAGAGGTCAGACGTTTCTTGTAGTTGGGCACCAGATTTGCACACATCTCAGGAGGGATTTTGTTCCACTCCTCTTTGCAGATCTTCTCCAAGTCATTAAGGTTTCTAGGCTGACGTTTGGCAACTCGAACCTTCAGCTCCCTCCACAGATTTTCTATGGGATTATGCTCTGGAGACTGGCTAGGCCACTCCAGGACCTTAATGTGCTTCTTCTTGAGCCACTCCTTTGTTGCTTTGGCTGTGTGTTTTGGGTCATTGTCATGCTGGAATACCCATCCACGACCCATTTTCAATGCCCTGGCTGAGGGAAGGAGGTTCTCATCCAAGATTTGAAGGTACATGGCCCCGTCCATCGTACCTTTGATGCGAAGAAGTTGTCCTGTACCCTTAGCAGAAAAACACCCCCAAAGCATAATGTTTCCACCTCCATGTTTGACGGTGGGGATGGTGTTCTTGGGGTCATAGGCAGCATTCCTCCTCCTCCAAACACGGCGAGTTGAGTTGATGACCACAACACTTTCATCCAGTTCTCCTCTGAATCATTCAAAGGTTCATTGGCAAACTTCAGACTGGCATATATATATGCTTTCTTGAGCAGGGGGACCTTGCGGGCACTGCAGGATTTCAGTCCTTCACGGCGTAGTGTGTTACCAATTGTTTTCTTGGTGACTATGGTCCCAGCTGCCTTGAGATCATTGACAAGATCCTCCCGTGTAGTTCTGGGCTGATTCCTCACCGTTCTCATGATCATTGGAACTCCACGTGGTGAGATCTTGCATGGAGCCCCAGGCCGAGGGAGATTGACAGTTCTTTTGTGTTTCTTCCATTTGCGAATAATCGCACCAACTGTTGTCACCTTCTCACCAAGCTGCTTGGCGATGGTCTTGTAGCCTATTCCAGCCTTGTGTAGGTCTACAATCTTGTCCCTGACATCCTTGGAGAGCTCTTTGGTCTTGGCCATGGTGGAGAGTTTGGAATCTGATTGATTGCTTCTGTGGACAGGTGTCTTTTTATATACAGTGGGGGAAAAAAAGTATTTAGTCAGCCACCAATTGTGCAAGTTCTCCCACTTAAAAAGATGAGAGAGGCCTGTAATTTTCATCATAGGTACACGTCAACTATGACAGATAAAGTGAGGAAAAAAAATCCAGAAAATCACATTGTAGGATTCTTTATGAATTTATTTGCAAATTATGGTGGAAAATAAGTATTTGGTCACCTACAAACAAGCAAGATTTCTGGCTCTCACAGACCTGTAACTTCTTCTTTAAGAGGCTCCTCTGTCCTCCACTCGTTACCTGTATTAATGGCACCTGTTTGAACTTGTTGTCAGTATAAAAGACACCTGTCCACAACCTCAAACAGTCACACTCCAAACTCCACTATGGCCAAGACCAAAGAGCTGTCAAAGGACAAAATTGTAGACCTGCACCAGGCTGGGAAGACTGAATCTGCAATAGGTAAGCAGCTTGGTTTGAAGAAATCAACTGTGGGAGCAATTATTAGGAAATGGAAGACATACAAGACCACTGATAATCTCCCTCGATCTGGGACTCCACGCAAGATCTCACCCCGTGGGGTCAAAATGATCACATGAACGGTGAGCAAAAATCCCAGAACCACACGGGGGGACCTAGTGAATGACCTGCAGAGAGCTGGGACCAAAGTAACAAAGCCTACCATCAGTAACACACTACGCCGCCAGGGACTCAAATCCTGCAGTGCGAGACGTGTCCCCCTGCTTAAGCCAGTACATGTCCAGGCCCGTCTGAAGTTTGCTAGAGTGCATTTGGATGATTCAGAAGAGGATTGGGAGAATGTCATATGGTCAGATGAAACCAAAATAGAACTTTTTGGTAAAAACTCAACTCGTCGTGTTTGGAGGACAAAGAATGCTGAGTTGCATCCAAAGAACACCATACCTACTGTGAAGCATGGAGTGGAAACATCATGCTTTGGGGCTGTTTTTCTGCAAAGGGACCAGGACGACTGATCCGTGTAAAGGAAAGAATGAATGGGGCCATGTATCGTGAGATGTTGAGTGAAAACCTCCTTCCATCAGCAAGGGCATTGAAGATGAAACGTGGCTGGGTCTTTCAGCATGACAATGATCCCAAACACAATGCCCGGGCAACGAAGTAGTGGCTTCGTAAGAAGCATTTCAAGGTCCAGGAGTGGCCTAGCCAGTCTCCAGATCTCAACACCATAGAAAATCTTTGGAGGGAGTTGAAAGTCCTTGTTGCCCAGCGACAGCCCCAAAACATCACTGCTCTAGAGGAGATCTGCATGGACGAATGGGCCAAAATACCAGCAACAGTGTGTGAAAACCTTGTGAAGACTTACAGAAAACGTTTGACCTGTGTCATTGCCAACAAAGGGTATATAACAAAGTATTGAGAAACTTTTGTTATTGACCAAATACTTATTTTCTACCATAATTTGCAAATAAATTCATAAAAAATCCTACAATGTGATTTTCTGGATTTTTTTTTCTTCTCATTTTGTCTGTCATAGTTGACGTGTACCTATGATGAAAATTACAGGCCTCATCTTTTTAAGTGGGAGAACTTGCACAATTGGTGGCTGACTAAATGCTTTTTCCCCCCACTGTGTGTGTGTGTGTGTGTGTGTGTGTATATATATATATATATATATATATAAATATTGATGTTGGCCTTTACTACTAAAGCCAATAGAAACGCACTGAATAACACATTCATTTATACCAAAAAGGACAGTCCAAAAATAAATCATAAGAAACAAGGTTTTGAAGTGTCTGTCCTAAATCTACGAGATATATATTTTTTTTAACTCTGGAAATATTTAGCTATTAGTTTTTTTTTTTTTACACATCTTTAACCCCTTTTTTGTTTTTGGGTAGGCACAAAACTACCTTCATACTTCCATTTGTTTTTATAATCTGTACCGGTTACCTTCAGACGGGTCCCGTGACACTTGTGGGGGTCATAGAGCAAAACTGAGAACATCATCGTGTTCGTGAGAGTCTTCCCTTTCCGTTCGGACGCTACAAATGTTTATGTGAGAAGGCTGATTTTTGGGATGTCTCATGGTCTGACAAACACTACTCGCCACCTTCCACCGCAGCTCGACACTGGCGGATGCGGTTGATTGAGACGCATCCAATGCAAAATCTCTAGCTTAAACTGGTGGATTTTGATGGGGATCTTTTTGTAATGTAACTCAATCGACTCTAGGTGGTTAATCAGCTTCTTGGTATGCCACACCTGTCAGGTGGATGGATTATCTTGGCAAAGGAGAAATGCTCACTAACAGGGATGTAAACAAATTTCAGCTCATGAAACATGGGACCAACACTTCACATGTTGCCTTTATATTTTTGTTCAGTGTATATTATTGGCTTTGTACTAGGGATGTTAACTGTTAATCAGTTAGCCCACGAAAATACATTTCACTGGTCATGCTTATCGGTCTATAGGTTAATTTGCATAATTTTGTGCAATTAAATTGGCGCATTTGTATTTTTTTAGTTGTCATGCATTTTATTTATCACACGAGAACAGCATAGAGCCTAGTTTGAGGAGCGGAATAGCCTACCACCTGTCAGACAGCGCGAGAGTAGCCCCTCAAAAAGCCTGTAGGTTACTGGAGTGAAACTGCTTTTGTGTAATCCCAGAAATTGCGCAACAAATAACAATTCTAAATACAAATGCGTGTTAACTTTGGTGGCCACGATTTAAAAGGAGCTATTTTTCTCAACTCGTAAACGCGCCTCCCATTCAACATTCAGATGCATAGGCTATAGCCTGCCTACCGTTGACTATCAGTGCGTCACCCACCACTTTGCAATGTGAGCTTGAGGCAGTATAATTGTTTGAAACCTGAACGTTTTATTTCAAATAATGAGGCATGTCTTACCTGCTTCAAAGTAGCCTTGCGAAAATCCATCCATAGAAACGCGGAGGCAATTATTTTATAAAGACTTCCTCATGCCATTAACCAGCATTTTCTCCTGTTCGATTGGTTTTCATATCAACTTTCTTTCGTTGTCCAGAACACAAAGGCACAATCCTAGTCATATTAGCAACCCATCATAGTTGTTGCTGTTAGAAACTTTAAAAGAGGGGGAATCTAACTGAGATTTTCAACTCGGTCACATATGGAACTGCTCGCATTTGGTGCGCAGTTCAGAACTGTGTTTTCCGCTAATTGCATTTGGGCAAATGTTTGAAAATGATTTATTAGCTGCTTCATTACAAATCAAATCAAATTTTATTTGTCATATGAACCAAATACAACAGGTGTAGACCTTAATGTGAAATGCTTACTTACAAGAACTTAACCAACAATGCAGTTCAAGAAATAGTTAATAAAATATTTACTAAATAAAATAAAGTAAAAAACATAATAAAATAACAATAAAGAGGCTATATACAGGGGGTACCGGTACCAAGTCAATGTGTGGGGGTACAGGTTAGTTGAGGTAATTTGTACACTACTGTTCAAAAGTTTGGGGTCACTTAGAAATGTCCTTGTTTTCGAAATAAAGGTTTGTCCATTAAAATAACATCAAATTGATCAGAAATACAGTGTAGGCATTGTTAATGTTGTAGAAGGAAACGGCATATTTTTTTATGGAATATCTACATAGGCATACAGAGGCCCATTATTAGCAACCATCAGTCCTGTGTTCCAATGGCACGTTGTGTTTGCTAATCCAAGTTTATCATTTTAAAAGGCTAATTGATCATTAGAAAACCCTTTTGCAATTATTTTAGCACAGCTGAAAACTGTTGTGCTGATTTAATGAAGCAATAAAACTGGCCTTCTTGAGACTAGTTGAGTATCTGGAGCATCAGCAATTGTGGGTTCGATTACAGAATCAAAATGGCCAGAAACAAATAACTTTCTTCTGAAACTCATCAGTCTATTCTTGTTCTGAGAAATGAAGGCTATTCCATGCGAGAAATTGCCAAGAAACTGAAGATCTCGTACAACGCTGTGTACTACTCTCTTCACAGAACAGCGCAAACTGGCTCTAACCAGAATAGAAAGAGGAGTGGGAGGCCCCGGTGCACAACTGAGCAAAAGGACAAATACATTAGTGTATAGTTTGAGAAACAGACGCCTCACAGGTCCTCAACTGGCAGCTTCATTAAATAGTACCCGCAAAACACCAGTCTCAACGTCAACAGTGAAAAGGAGACTCCGGGATGCTGACCTTCTAGGCAGAGTTGCAAAGAAAAAGCTATATCTCAGAGTGGCCAATAAAAATAAAATATTTAAGATGGGCAAAAGAACACAGACACTGGACAGAGGAAGATTGGAAAAAAGTGTTATGGACAGACAAAGTTTGAGGTGTTCGGATCACAAAGAAGAACATTTGTGAGACGCAGACCAAATGAAAAGATGCTGGAGGAGTGCCATCTGTCAAGCATGGTGGAGGCAATGTGACGGTCTGAGGGTGCTTTGGTGGTGGAAAAGTGGGAGATTTGTACAGGGTAAATGGGATCTGGAAGAAGTAAGGCTATCACTCCATTTTGCAACGCCATGCCATACCCTGTGGATGGTGCTTGATTGGAGCCAATTTCCTCCTACAACAGGACAATGACCCAAAGCACAGCTCCAAACTATGCAATAACTATTTAGGGAAGAAGCAGTCAGTTGGTATATTGTATATAATGGAGTGGCCAGCACAGTCACCGGATCTCAATCCTATTGAGCTGTTGTGGGAGCAGCTTGACCGTATGGTACGTAAGAAGTGCCCATCAAGCCAATCCAACTTGTGGGAGGTGCTTCAGGAAGCATGGGGTGAAATCTCTTCAGATTACCTCAACAAATTGACAACTAGAATGCCAAAGGTCTGCAAGGCTGTAATTGCTGCAAATGGAGGATTATTTGATGAAAGAAAAGTTTGAAGGATATAAATAATAATTGTATTAAAAATCATTATTTCTAACCTTGTCAATAACTACATTCCCTATGCATTTTGCTAGATTTCCTATTCAAGCTAATTTCATGTATGTTTTCATGGAAAACAAGGACATTTCTAAGTACATTTTACATTTACATTTTAGTCATTTAGCAGACGCTCTTATCCAGAGCGACTTACAGGAGCAATTAGGGTTAAGTGCCTTGCTCAAGGGCACATTAACGTCATTTAGCAGACGCTCTTAGCCAGAGCGACTCACAAATTGGTGCGTTCACCCTATAGCCAGTGGGATAACCACTTTACAATTGGGGGGGGGGGGTAGAAGGATTCCTTTATCCTATCCCAGGTATTCCTTAAAGAGGTGGGGTTTCAAATGTCTCCGGAAGGTGGTGAGTGACTCCGCTGTCCTGGCGTCGTGAGGGAGCTTGTTCCACCATTGGGGTGCCAGAGCAGCAAACAGTTTTGACTGGGCTGAGCGGGAACTATGCTTCCGCAGAGGAAGGGGAGCCAGCAGGCCAGAGGTGGATGAGCGCAATACTCTCGTTTGGGTGTAGGGACTGATCATAGCCTGAAGGTACAGAGGTGCAGTTCCCCTCACTGCTCCATAGGCAAGCACCATGGTCTTGTAGCGGATGCGAGCTTCAACTGGAACCAGTGGAGTGTGCGGAGGAGGGGGGGTGACGTGAGAGAACTTGGGAAGGTTAAACACCAGACGGGCTGCAGCATTCTGGATGAGTTGTAGGGGTTTAATGGCACAGGCAGGGAGGCCAGCCAACAGCGAGTTGCAGTAGTCCAGACGGGAGATGACAAGCGCCTGGACCAGGACCTGTGCCGCTTCCTGTGTAAGGCAGGGTCGTACTCTCCGAATGTTGTAGAGCATGAACCTGCAGGAGCGGGTCACCGCCTTGATGTTGGCGGAGAACGACAGGGTGTTGTCCAGGGTCACGCCTAGGCTCTTCGCACTCTGGGAGGAGGACACAGCGGAGTTGTCAACCGTGATGGCGAGATCATGGAACGGGCAGTCCTTCCCCGGGAGGAAGAGCAGCTCCGTCTTGCCAGGGTTCAGCTTGAGGTGGTGATCCGTCATCCATACTGATATGTCTGCCAGACATGCAGAGATGCGATTCGCCACCTGGTTATCAGAAGGGGGAAAGGAGAAGATTAGTTGTGTATCGTCAGCGTAGCAATGATAGGAGAGACCATGTGAGGATATGACAGAGCCAAGTGACTTGGTGTATAGGGAGAAAAGGAGAGGGCCTAGAACTGAGCCTTGGGGGACACCAGTGGTGAGAGCACGTGGTGCGGAGACAGCTTCTCGCCACGCCACTTGGTAGGAGCGACCGGTCAGGTAGGACGCAATCCAGGAGTGAGCCGCGCCGGAGATGCCCAGCTCGGAGAGGGTGGAGAGGAGGATCTGATGGTTCACAGTATCAAAGGCAGCAGACAGGTCTAGAAGGACAAGAGCAGAGGAGAGAGAGTTAGCTTTAGCAGTGCGGAGAGTCTCCGTGACACAGAGAAGAGCAGTCTCAGTTGAATGACCAGTCCTGAAACCTGATTGGTTTGGATCAAGAAGGTCATTCTGAGAGAGATAGCAAGAGAGTTGGCTAAAGACGGCACGCTCAATAGTTTTGGAAAGAAAAGAAAGAAGGGATACTGGTCTGTAGTTGTTGACATCAGTGGGGTCGAGTGTTGGTTTTTTGAGAAGGGGAGTAACTCTCGCTCTCTTGAAGACGGAAGGGACATGGCCGGCGGTCAAGGATGAGTTGATCAGCGAGGTGAGGTAGGGGAGAAGGTCACCGGAGATGGTCTGGAGAAGGGAGGAGGGGATGGGGTCAAGCGGGCAGGTTGTTGGGTGGCCTGCAGTCACAAGTCGCAGGATTTTATCTGGAGAGAGAGGGGAGAAAGAAGTCAAAGCATAGGGTAGGGCAGTGTGAGCAGGACCAGCAGTGTCATTAGACTTAACAAACGAGGATCGGATGTCGTCAACCTTCTTTTCAAAGTGGTTGACGAAGTCATCCACAGAGAGAGAGGAGGGGGGGGGGGGGGGGGGGATTCAGGAGGGAGGAAAATGTGGCAAAGAGCGTCCTAGGGTTAGAGGCAGATGCTTGGAATTTAGAGTGGTAGAAGGTGGCCTTAGCAGCAGAAACAGATGAAGAAAATGTAGAGAGGAGGGAGTGAAAAGATGCCAGGTCGGCAGGGAGTTTAGTTTTCTTCCATTTCCGCTCCGCTGCCCGGAGCTCTGTTCTGTGAGCTCGCAGTGAGTCATCAAGCCACGGAGCTGGAGGGGAGGACCGAGCCGGCCGGGAGGATAGGGGACACAGAGAGTCAAAGGATGCAGAAAGGGAGGAGAGGAGGGTTGAGGAGGCAGAATCAGGAGATTGGAGGGAGAAGGATTGAGCAGAGGGAAGAGATGATAGGATGGAAGAGGAGAGAGTAGTGGGAGAGAGAGAGCGAAGGTTGCGGCGGCGCATTACCATCTGTGTAGGGGCAGAGTGAGTAGTGTGGGAGGAGAGCGAGAGAGAAAAGGAAACAAAGTAGTGGTCGGAGACATGGAGGGGAGTTGCAGTGAGATTAGTAGAGGAGCAGCATCTAGTGAAGATGAGGTCAAGCGTATTGCCTGCCTTGTGAGTAGGGGGGGACGGTGAGAGGGTGAGGTCCCTCTCAATATTTTGGGCCTTCCTCTGACACCGCCAAGTATATAGGTCCTGGATGGCAGGAAGGCCCCAGTGATGTACTGTAGCGCCTCCTTTTTGAGGATCTGGGGACCCATGCCAAATCTCCTGAGGGGGAAAAGGTGTTGTCGTGCCCTCTTCACGACTGTCTTGGTGTGTTTGGACCATGATAGTTTGTTGGTGAGGTGGACACCAAGGAACTTAACTCTCGACCCTCTCCACTATAGCCCCATCGATGTTAATGGGGGCCTGTTCGGCCCTCCTTTTCCTGTAGTCCACAAGCAGATCCTTTGTCTTGCTCACATTGAGGGAGAGGTTGTTGTCCTGGCACCACACTGCCAGGTCTCTGACCTCCTCCCTATAACTTGTCTCATCGTTGTCAGTGATCAGGCTTACAACTGTTGTCGTCAGCAAACTTAATGATGGTGTTGGAGTCGTGCTTGGCCATGCAGTCATGGGTGAATATGGAGTACAGGCATGGTCTAAGCACGCACCCTTGAGGGGCCCAGTGTTGAGGATTAGAGTGGCAGATGTGTTGTTGTCTACCCTTACCACCTGGGGGCGGCCCGTTAGGAAGTCCAGGATCCAGTTGCAGAGGGAGGTGTTTATTCCCAGGGTCCTTAGCTTAGTGATAAGCTTTGTGGGCACTATGGTGTTGAACGCTGGTGGGAAAAGGGCAGTCTGGAGTGCGATTGAGATTGCATCATCTGTGGATCTGTTGGGGCTGTATGCGAATTGGAGTGGGTCTTGGTTTTCCGGGATGATGGTGTTGATGTGAGCCATGACCAACATTTCAAAGCACTTCATGGCTACCGACGTGAGTGCTACTGGGTGGTAGTCATTTAGGCAGGTTACCTTCACTTTCTTGGGCACAAGGGACTATGGTGGTCTGCTTGAAACATGTAGGTATCACAGACTCCGTCAGGGAGAGGTTGAAAATGTCAGTGAAGACACTTGCCAGTTGGTCCGCGCATGCTCTGAATACACGTCCTGGTAATCCATCTGGCCCCGCAACCTAGTGAATGTTGACCTGTTTAAAGGTCTTGCTCACATCGGCCAAGGAGAGGGTGATCACATTGTCATCCGGAACAGCTGGTGCTCTCATGCATGCTTCAGTGTTGCTTGCCTCGAAGCGAGCATAAAAGGCACTGGGCAGCTTGCGGCTGGGTTTCCCTTTGTTGTCCGTAATAGTTTGCAAGCCCTGCCACATTCGACGAGTGTCAGAGCCGGTGTAGTAGGATTCAATCTTAGTCCTGTATTGACGCTTTGCCTGCGGGATTTCTTATAAGTGTCCGGATTAGTGTCCCGCTCCTTGAAAGCAGCAGCTCTAGCCTTTAGCTCGGTGTGGATGTTGCCGGTAATCCATGGCTTCTGGTTGGGATATGTACGTACGGTCACTGTGGGGACAACGTCGTCGATGCACTTATTGATGAAGCCGGTGACTGAGGTGGTATACTCTTCAATGCAATTGGATGAATCCCGGGACATATTCCAGTCTGTGCCAGAAAAGCAGTCCTGTAGCGTAGCATCCGCGTCATCTGAACACTTCCGTGTTGAGCGAGTCACTGGTACTAACTGCTTTTAGTTTTTGCTTGTAAGCAGGAATCAGAAGGATATAATTATGGTCTAATTTGCCAAATGGAGGGTGAGGGAGAGCTTTGTATGTATCTCTGTGTGTGGAGTAAAGGTGGTCTAGAGTTTTTTAAAATATTTTTTCCATCTGGTTGCACATGTGACATGCTGGTAGAAATGAGGTAAAACGACTTTGCCTGCATTAAAGTCCCCGGCCGCTAGGAGAGCCGCTTCTGGATGTGCATTTTCTTGTTTGCTTATGGCCTTATACAGCTCTTTGAGCGCGGTCTCTTAGTGCCAGCATAGGTTTGTGGTGGTAAATAGATGGCTTTGAATAATATAGATGAAAACTCTCTTGGTAGATAGTTTGGTCTACAGTTGATCATGAGGTACTGTACCTCAGGTAAGCAAGACCTCGAGACCTCTTTTAATATTAGACATCGTGCACCAGCTGTTATTGACAAATAGACACACACCCCCACCCCTCGTCTTACCAGACGTAGCTGTTCTGTCCTGCCGATGCACGGAAAACCCAGCCAGCTCTATATTATCCATGTCGTCGTTCAGCTACGACTCTGTGAAACATAAGATATTACAGTTTTTAATGTCCTGTTGATAGGATAGTCTGGATCGTAGATCATCCAGTTTATTTTCCAATGATTGCACGTTGGCAAATAGAACGGATGGTAGAGGCGGTTTACATGTTGCATGTTCAATAATAGGCTAGCCTTTTGACTGTAAGACGATAGGCTTGCTATTGTTGCATGTTTCCATTACGCTGTTAATGAAAAATGTCCGGTCCTTGTATGCATGCATAGTATCAGAGAGGAAGAGGCGAAGCTAGAGGTTTCATTCTCGCCAAAATCTGTCCAAAATAAGTCGGGTGCGTTTCTACGGGCTTGTTTTGGGCCTAAGCTTGTCGCCTGTCTTCCCGCCTTTGGACGACTCTGATAGTATTTTCTGCTGGTCACGTCATTTGTTGACCGGTTAATGAGGGTCAGTTTGTTGGCAGCAAAATTGACCGAAATTTGCATCCCTACATTGTACAGTCGGTCACTCGCTCTCTCTGTCTCTCTCTTGCAGGGCAGGTGAGACAGAGATGCCATTGCAGACATAATTGTGTTGTAATGGTGGGAGGGTTTTATCTCTGTGTCAAGGCCCTGTACACCTGTACTACAGAGGGAAATATGATGATTTACTCAACATCACGATGCACATCAACCCTGTCACCTCTCTGCCTGGACCATCTCATTGTCTACTGCTGCTATACCTCCGCATCAAATGGCATCTGCACAACACATTCTTTAAGTGACTGGGGGGTGTGGGTGCCTGAGGATCTGAGTGTATCTGTGTCTTGAGAGTACAGGTGTGTCTTGAGAGTACAGGTGTGTCTTGAGAGTACAGGTGTGTCTTGAGAGTACAGGTGTGTCTTGAGAGTACAGGTGTGTCTTGAGAGTACAGGTGTGTCTTGAGAGTACAGGTGTAGCTAGCTAATCAAATGGCCTAACTGAATCATTAAGCACTCGTCTCTTCTGACCGTTCTGAGGTAGTAAACAGGGCATCTTTCTCTCCCTCTTTTTCTCTCCCCCTCTTAGTGGTGATGAAGTGACACTGCTCACAACAGCTCAGTTAACAACCGCACAATCAGTCATAGTGTGCGTTAAGTGTTGTGTGAGAGGGTGCTTTTTTGTATGTGTTACTGTGAGATGGCCACATGCTTTAAATAACCTCTTCTTCAGAGTTGACTGGTGTGTGTGTGTGTAGAATGATAGTCACGCAATCATAGAGAAGAGAAGTGAGAATACCAATTAACAATCTCCTAACATCCTCTCTTTTCCTTTCTCTGCTCGTCTCTCCCCTGCTCCCTTCTCCCTTCCGTCATCTACCATTCTCCTTACTTCCATCCTCCTCTCATCTCTCCCCTGCTTCCTGCTTCCTTCTGTCATCTACCATTCTCCTTACTTCCATCCTCCTCTCATCTCTCCCCTGCTTCCTGCTTCCTTCTGTCATCTACCATTCTCCTTACTTCCATCCTCCTCTCATCTCTCCCCTGCTTCCTGCTTCCTTCTGTCATCTACCGTTCTCCTTACTTCCATCCTCCTCTCATCTCTCCCCTGCTTCCTGCTTCCTTCTGTCATCTACCATTCTCCTTACTTCCATCCTCCTCATCTCTCCCCTGCTTCCTGCTTCCTTCTGTCATCTACCATTCTCCTTACTTCATCCTCCTCTCATCTCTCCCCTGCTTCCTTCTGTCATCTACCATTCTCCTTACTTCATCCTCCTCTCATCTCTCCCCTGCTCCCTTCTCCCTTCCGTCATCTACCATTCTCCTTACTTCATCCTCTCTCATCTCCTCTCCTCCCTGCATCTCATTCCCCTCTTCCAGTCGCTTCCTTCTTACCTCTACCATCTCCTCCTTACTTCATCCTTCTCTTCATTCCTTCTCCTCTCTCTCATTTCCTGCTTCCTTCTGTCATCTCCTTCCTTACTTCATCCTCCTCTCATCTCTCCCCTGCTTCCTGCTTCCTTCTGTCATCTACCGTTCTCCTTACTTCCATCCTCCTCTCATCTCTCCCCTGCTTCCTGCTTCCTTCTGTCATCTACCGTTCTCCTTACTTCCATCCTCCTCTCATCTCTCCCCTGCTTCCTGCTTCCTTCTGTCATCTACCGTTCTCCTTACTTCCATCCTCCTCTCATCTCTCCCCTCCTCTCTCCTAACCTCTAGTAGCTTAGTTCCTCTCAAGGTTTCTACCTAAGCAGGGATTTCCACCTGGCCATTGTCACCTGTGCTTCCTGGTGGAGAATTAAGACTAGCAGCTCACTGTTAAGCACTTTGTGACAAACACCATTTGATTGAAGATTGATTGACTAGGCCTCAATCAGTTAATCAATTGATAAGATTGCGTCTGATAGTGCGTCATTAACTCTTTAATCTGTAGTGTTCTGGTCCCTGTGTTTTTTAGGTCAACTTATGTACCGTCTGTAAACCCATACCAGTTCTGCCACTGTAGAGAGAGAGGTGGCGAAAGAAGGAAGGATTTGGAGGAAAGGGGAAGAGGGAGGTGATTGAGGTGTCAGGAGAAAAGGCCTAGTAGGACTGTAGGCTAGTTGTTGTTTTTCACCTCACAGAGGGGTGTGCCCAGCCATGTGTGTTTTTCACCTCACAGAGGGGTGTGCCCAGCCGTGTGTGTTTTTCACCTCACAGAGGGGTGTGCCCAGCCGTGTGTGTTTTTCACCTCACAGAGGGGTGTGCCCAGCCGTGTGTGTTTTTCACCTCACAGAGGGGTGTGCCCAGTCGCGTGTTTTTCACCTCACAGAGGGGTGTGCCCAGCCGCGTGTTTTTCACCTCACAGAGGGGTGTGCCCAGCCGTGTGTGTGTGTGTTTTGACCTAACTAAACACACGCGACTGGGCACCCCCTGAGGGTTGTGCCCAGTCGCGTGTGTTTTTCTTTGAAAGGTTGTTCCTGTGACATCTCGTTAGCTGTCTATTTTAGCAGCAGTAATGCTAATTGGCTAATGCCACAGGGAGAGACAGACTGACACACGGGAGCATACACACAGAGTACTGACAAACACCATATTGTTACAGTCACATTACACACAACAAACACCTCCAATTTTTTTTATGTTTATCTGAGTTTGTACATGTCGTGTGTGAGTTATATGTTCATATATATTTACTATAAAAAGCTAAAATATACCTCCACAACAGACATGAACAGTATTTTATTTTCACTGATTGTCATCTGAGATGTGAAAAATCTCTAGTGATGATGATGATGATGTGGTGTATCAGCTGTAACAACACATGCACACACGTCCCATGAAGGCAACGAGGCGGTTCCCGTGGCAACACAAGGGCTTTTCTTTGCGAGCTGTTTAGATGGGTGTCAGTAGATTTTGTGTCCTAGTGTGTAAACGTTTTAGTGTCAGTGATGTGTAGATAATATGCAGACAGTAGAGGTGTAAGATGACGCTCACCCCCTGTCATTGTGGTCCATTTGAGGCACATTGTAATGGTGTGTCTGATAGGGGATTTGCTCAATGAGATGAGGATATTGTTCTCTTACTATGGCTAATCCACTAGAAAGGCCTACTCAAATGAAAGGTGTATGTGTGCACAGTTCAACTGAACTGGATGTGCAGACCCCAGAAGCTTTGTTGGCAATGACATGACCTTTCCTACATTTAGTTAGGTCAAAACACACACACACACCTAAAGCTGATGTCATAATGTCAAAGAAACAACCCTGACAGTGTGTATTTCTCTGTTTCAGGGTTTCTGCTGTTTAAGGATTTTTGTTTGAATGAAATAGATGAGGCCGTACCACAGCTCAAGTTCTACGAAGAAGTAAGAGAAACACACCTGTCTGTCTGCCTCTCGCTCGCTCTCTCCTCTCTCTCTCCTTCCTTCCTCGCTCTCTCTCTTCTCTCGCTCTCCCTCCTATCCCGCTCGCTCTCTCCTCTCTCTCTCGCTCTCTCTTCTCTCGCTCTCCCTCCTCTCTCTCGCTCTCCCTCCTCTCTCGCTCTCCCTCCTCTCTCGCTCTCCCTCCTCTCTCGCTCTCCCTCCTCTCTCACTCTCTCTCCTCTCGCTCTCTGTGTGGTCACTGGTCAGAGAGCAGAAGTCTAGTGTGTGTCAGTTGTATTAAAGTGCATGTGAGACGTTTGAGATTAGGCTAATTCCATGGTTTCAAAGGAAGTGTGTTTGTGTTAACCCTGTGTGTGTATCAGATTAAGGACTATGAGAAGTTGGATTCTGAAGAGGAGAGGTTGTGTCGTAGCAGACAGATCTATGACGGATACATCATGAAGGAACTCCTCTCCTGCTCACATGTAAGGTCAACATGGGACGCACTTTTCCTCCTCTCTCAGGGAGGAAGTTTACATGAATAAACACAATGCAACACCCCATCTTATCTAAAACACTTTACATGGCATACTGCACTGGGAATGACTGTCACACCGCTATATTTGTTACATGGCCCTCCTCTCTCTCTCCTCCACCCCCCATACTCTTCTCCATTTCCCCCCTTCTCTCTCCCTCTTTATCCCTCTCAGCCCTTCTCTAAGAAAGCAGTGGACCACGTTCAGACTCACCTGGCCAAGAAACAGGTGCCTCCCTCTCTCTTCCAGGTAAGGAACACACACACACACACACACACACACACACACACACACACACACACACACACACACACACACACACACACACTCTCACTGCAGCACCAATCTAACTCCTGTGTGTGTCTCTGTGCAGTCCCACATAGTGGGGGTCCGACACACACACACCCTTCCCCTGTTCTATTATTATGATTTAATGACCATTGGTATTTATCCTGCTACTAGTCACTTTTACCCCTGTTTACATGTACATGCCTACCTCAGTCACTCCAGTAGCCCTGTTAAATGTACATGCCTACCTCAGTCACTCCAGTAGCCCTGTTAAATGTACAAGCCTACCTCAGTCACTCCAGTAGCCCTGTTAAATGTACAAGCCTACCTCAATCACTCCAGTAGCCCTATTAAATGTACATGCCTACCTCAATCACTCCAGTAGCCCTGTTAAATGTACATGCCTACCTCAATCACTCCAGTAGCCCTATTAAATGTACAAGCCTACCTCAATCACTCCAGTATCCCTGTTAAATGTACAAGCCTACCTCAGTCACTCCAGTATCCCTGTTAAATGTACAAGCCTACCTCAGTCACTCCAGTAGCCCTATTAAATGTACATGCCTACCTCAATCACTCCAGTAGCCCTGTTAAATGTACAAGCCTACCTCAATCACTCCAGTATCCCTGTTAAATGTACATGCCTACCTCAGTCACTCCAGTAGCCCTATTAAATGTACATGCCTACCTCAATCACTCCAGTAGCCCTGTTAAATGTACAAGCCTACCTCAATCACTCCAGTATCCCTGTTAAATGTACAAGCCTACCTCAATCACTCCAGTATCCCTGTTAAATGTACATGCCTACCTCAATCACTCCAGTAGCCCTATTAAATGTACAAGCCTACCTCAATCACTCCAGTAGCCCTGTTAAATGTACATGCCTACCTCAATCACTCCAGTAGCCCTATTAAATGTACAAGCCTACCTCAATCACTCCAGTAGCCCTGTTAAATGTACAAGCCTACCTCAATCACTCCAGTATCCCTGTTAAATGTACATGCCTACCTCAATCACTCCAGTAGCCCTATTAAATGTACAAGCCTACCTCAATCACTCCAGTATCCCTGTTAAATGTACATGCCTACCTCAGTCACTCCAGTAGCCCTATTAAATGTACATGCCTACCTCAATCACTCCAGTATCCCTGTTAAATGTACAAGCCTACCTCAATCACTCCAGTAGCCCTATTAAATGTACATGCCTACCTCAATCACTCCAGTAGCCCTGTTAAATGTACAAGCCTACCTCAATCACTCCAGTATCCCTGTTAAATGTACATGCCTACCTCAGTCACTCCAGTAGCCCTATTAAATGTACATGCCTACCTCAATCACTCCAGTAGCCCTGTTAAATGTACAAGCCTACCTCAATCACTCCAGTATCCCTGTTAAATGTACATGCCTACCTCAATCACTCCAGTATCCCTGTTAAATGTACATGCCTACCTCAATCACTCCAGTAGCCCTATTAAATGTACAAGCCTACCTCAATCACTCCAGTAGCCCTGTTAAATGTACATGCCTACCTCAATCACTCCAGTAGCCCTATTAAATGTACAAGCCTACCTCAATCACTCCAGTAGCCCTGTTTACATGTACATGCCTACCTCAATCACTCCAGTATCCCTGTTAAATGTACATGCCTACCTCAATCACTCCAGTAGCCCTATTAAATGTACAAGCCTACCTCAATCACTCCAGTATCCCTGTTAAATGTACATGCCTACCTCAATCACTCCAGTAGCCCTATTAAATGTACAAGCCTACCTCAATCACTCCAGTATCCCTGTTAAATGTACATGCCTACCTCAATCACTCCAGTAGCCCTATTAAATGTGCAAGCCTAACTCAATCACTCCAGTAGCCCTGTTAAATATACATGCCTATCTCAATCACTCCAGTAGCCCTATTAAATGTACAAGCCTACCTCAATCACTCTAGTAGCCCTGTTAAATGTACATGCCTACCTCAATCACTCCAGTAGCCCCCCTTGGCATTTTTCCTATTTTGTTGCCTTACAACCTGGAATTAAAATAGATTTTTGGGGGGGTTGTATCATTTGATTTACACAACATGCCTAACAGTTTGAAGATGCAACATATTTTTTTGGGTGAAACAAACAAGAAAAAATACAAAAAATACAGAACTTGAGCATGTGTAACTATTCACCCATCCCAAAGTCAATACTTTGTAGAGCCACCTTTTGCAGCAATTACAGCTGCAAGTCTCTTGGGGTATGTCTCTATAACATTTTACATTTAAGTCATTTAGCAGACGCTCTTATCCAGAGCGACTTACAGGAGCAATTAGGGTTAAGTGCCTTGCTCAAGGGCACATTAACGTCATTTAGCGGACGCTCTTAGCCAGAGCGACTCACAAATTGGTGCGTTCACCCTATAGCCAGTGGGATAACCACTTTACAATTGGGGGGGGGGGGGGGGGTGGAAGGATTCCTTCATCCTATCCCAGGTATTCCTTAAAGAGGTGGGGTTTCAAATGTCTCCGGAAGGTGGTGAGTGACTCCGCTGTCCTGGCGTCGTGAGGGAGCTTGTTCCACCATTGGGGTGCCAGAGCAGCGAACAGTTTTGACTGGGCTGAGCGGGTACTATGCTTCCGCAGAGGAAGGGGAGCCAGCAGGCCAGAGGTGGATGAGCGCAATACTCTCGTTTGGGTGTAGGGACTGATCAGAGCCTGAAGGTACAGAGGTGCCGTTCCCCTCACTGCTCCATAGGCAAGCACCATGGTCTTGTAGCGGATGCGAGCTTCAACTGGAAGCCAGTGGAGTGTGCGGAGGAGGGGGGGTGACGTGAGAGAACTTGGGAAGGTTGAACACCAGACGGGCTGCGGCATTCTGGATGAGTTGTAGGGGTTTAATGGCACAGGCAGGGAGGCCAGCCAACAGCGAGTTGCAGTAGTCCAGACGGGAGATGACAAGCGCCTGGACCAGGACCTGTGCCGCTTCCTGTGTAAGGCAGGGTCGTACTCTCCGAATGTTGTAGAGCATGAACCTGCAGGAGCGGGTCACCGCCTTGATGTTGGCGGAGAACGACAGGGTGTTGTCCAGGGTCACGCCTAGGCTCTTCGCACTCTGGGAGGAGGACACAGCGGAGTTGTCAACCGTGATGGCGAGATCATGGAACGGGCAGTCCTTCCCCGGGAGGAAGAGCAGCTCCGTCTTGCCAGGGTTCAGCTTGAGGTGGTGATCCGTCATCCATACTGATATGTCTGCCAGACATGCAGAGATGCGATTCGCCACCTGGTTATCAGAAGGGGGAAAGGAGAAGATTAGTTGTGTATCGTCAGCGTAGCAATGATAGGAGAGACCATGTGAGGATATGACAGAGCCAAGTGACTTGGTGTATAGGGAGAAAAGGAGAGGGCCTAGAACTGAGCCTTGGGGGACACCAGTGGTGAGAGCACGTGGTGCGGAGACAGCTTCTCGCCACGCCACTTGGTAGGAGCGACCGGTCAGGTAGGACGCAATCCAGGAGTGAGCCGCGCCGGAGATGCCCAGCTCGGAGAGGGTGGAGAGGAGGATCTGATGGTTCACAGTATCAAAGGCAGCAGACAGGTCTAGAAGGACAAGAGCAGAGGAGAGAGAGTTAGCTTTAGCAGTGCGGAGAGTTTCCGTGACACAGAGAAGAGCAGTCTCAGTTGAATGACCAGTCCTGAAACCTGATTGGTTTGGATCAAGAAGGTCATTCTGAGAGAGATAGCAAGAGAGTTGGCTAAAGACGGCACGCTCAATAGTTTTGGAAAGAAAAGAAAGAAGGGATACTGGTCTGTAGTTGTTGACATCAGTGGGGTCGAGTGTTGGTTTTTTGAGAAGGGGAGCAACTCTCGCTCTCTTGAAGACGGAAGGGACATGGCCAGCGGTCAAGGATGAGTTGATCAGCGAGGTGAGGTAGGGGAGAAGGTCACCGGAGATGGTCTGGAGAAGGGAGGAGGGGATGGGGTCAAGCGGGCAGGTTGTTGGGCGGCCTGCAGTCACAAGTCGCAGGATTTTATCTGGAGAGAGAGGGGAGAAAGAAGTCAAAGCATAGGGTAGGGCAGTGTGAGCAGGACCAGCAGTGTCATTAGACTTAACAAACGAGGATCGGATGTCGTCAACCTTCTTTTCAAAGTGGTTGACGAAGTCATCCACAGAGAGAGGGGGGAGGAGGATTCAGGAGGGAGGAAAATGTGGCAAAGAGCTTCCTAGGGTTAGAGACAGATGCTTGGAATTTAGAGTGGTAGAAGGTGGCTTTAGCAGCAGAAACAGATGAAGAAAATGTAGAGAGGAGGGAGTGAAAAGATGCCAGGTCGGCAGGGAGTTTAGTTTTCTTCCATTTCCGCTCCGCTGCGCGGAGCTCTGTTCTGTGAGCTCGCAATGAGTCATCAAGCCACGGAGCTGGAGGGGAGGACCGAGCCGGCCGGGAGGATAGGGGACACAGAGAGTCAAAGGATGCAGAAAGGGAGGAGAGGAGGGTTGAGGAGGCAGAATCAGGAGATTGGAGGGAGAAGGATTGAGCAGAGGGAAGAGATGATAGGATGGAAGAGGAGAGAGTAGTGGGAGAGAGAGAGCGAAGGTTGCGGCGGCGCATTACCATCTGTGTAGGGGCAGAGTGAGTAGTGTGGGAGGAGAGCGAGAGAGAAAAGGAAACAAAGTAGTGGTCGGAGACATGGAGGGGAGTTGCAGTGAGATTAGTAGAGGAGCAGCATCTAGTGAAGATGAGGTCAAGCGTATTGCCTGCCTTGTGAGTAGGGGGGGACAGTGAGAGGGTGAGGTCAAAAGAGGAGAGGAGTGGAAAGAAGGAGGCAGAGAGAAATGAGTCAAATGTGGACATAGGGAGGTTGAAATCCCCCAAAACTGTGAGGGGTGAGCCATCCTCAGGGAAGGAACTTATCAAGGCGTCAAGCTCATTGATGAACTCTCCAAGGGAACCTGGAGGGCGATAGATGACAAGGATATTAAGCTTAAATGGGCTAGTGACTGTGACAGCATGGAATTCAAATGAGGAGATAGACAGATGGGTTAGGGGAAAAATTGAGAATGTCCACTTGGGAGAAATGAGGATTCCTGTACCACCACCCCTCTGACCAGATGCTCTCGGGGTATGCGAGAACACATGGTCAGACGAGGAGAGAGCAGTAGGAGTAGCAGTGTTTTCAGTGGTGATCCATGTTTCCGTCAGCGCCAGGAAGTCGAGGGACTGGAGGTTGGCATAGGCTGGGATGAAGTCAGCTTTGTTGGCAGCAGAACGGCAGTTCCAGAGGCTGCCTGCGACCTGGAACTCCACGTGGGTGGTGCGTGCAGGGACCACCAGGTTAGAGAGGCAGCAGCCACGCGGTGTGGTGCGTTTGTGTAGCCTGTGCAGAGAGGAGAGAACAGGGATAGGCAGAGGCATAGTTGACAGGCTGTAGCAAATGGCTACAAAAATGCAGAGGAGATCGGAATGAAATGAGCTAAGCATCTGGGAGCGGAGAGAGCAGGGCCTCCCTCACCAAAAACTTCTACCTCAGAAACTAAAATTGTTTCACTGAACCACCCGAACAAAAACTCTCCCAACTTCCACCTTTAGAAATCAGAATTGTTGTGAACCACAGCGGTTCAATGTTTAAAGGAATAGACTCAACCCACTTTATTCAACTATGACACCATAGCTAACTAGCAAGCTAGCATCCAATAACAATAACACACCGTATAGCACCAACCCTTGGTCACAACAAACCACCAATAGTGTGATAACACACTAAACAGATCATTAGTGTCTGTGTCAAGTTCCTTTCATGACGCAGCAATGATTAGACGTTGGCTAGCTAGGACAAGTATATTGTATTTAGCTACTACCGTACAGTTAGCTGGTCGTGTTGGGTAGCTAGCAATGGCCACTGTGTTGACTTTGTTTGAAGAACGGCTAGCCAGCTAGCTTCGTGCTACACCCGGCACACAATGGCTATTGTGTTGACTCTGACTCTGTTCGAAAAAACGGCTAGGTAGCTCGCTTCGTGCTACAGCCGGCGCTGCCAAGACACAGAACGGCTAGCTAGCTAGCTTCGTGCTACACCCGGCACACAATGGCTATTGTGTTGACTCTGACTCTGTTCGAAAAAAACGGCTAGGTAGCTCGCTTCGTGCTACAGCCGGCACTGCCAAGACACAGTAACTACCCACAACAACCCACGATGCCTAGCTATGACGCTGTAGCTAACTTGCAGGCTAGCATCCATTAACACACAATTTAGCATCAATACTTGGTTACAACAAACTGCCAAGAGTGTGTTAGCACACTAAACAGATAATTCAAGTCCGTGTCTAGTTCCTTTCATAACGCATAACGCAGCAAAAATTAAACGATGGCTAGGACTACATTAACATTGGAAACAGCTCTCCAGCGTTGCTAATCGATACCAGTAGCTACCCGCTAGCTAGCTAGCCTCGTGCTTCGATACTAACCTACAATTACCTACGGAAACCTACAATAACAACACTACTAACCTATAATAAATACAATACCTAACTACAGCTAACTACCTACCTACGATCTAATACATGGTTAAGCTTTACTCAACACCATATGAGAAGCTTACCTCCTGCTTACCTCCAGCTAGAGAAAAACACGACCTCTCCCGACGCATCTGCTTGCTCTCATGACCCATTTGCGACCAAGCTTTAACTTCCGTCTATAAGCTTGGCACATCTAGCCACTTGGATTTTTGCCCATTCTTCAAGGCAAAACTGCTCTAGCTCCTTCAAGTTGGATGGGTTCTGCTGGTGTACAGCAATCTTTAAGTCATACCACAGATTCTCAATTGGATTGAGGTCTGGGTTTTGACTAGGCCATTCCAAGACATTTAAATGTTTCCCCTTAAACCACTCAAGTGTTGTTTAGCAGTATGCTTAGGGTCATTGTCCTGCTGGAAGGTAAACCTCCATCCCAGTCTCAAATCTCTGGAAGACTGAAACAGATTTCCCTCAAGAATTTCCCTGTATTTAGTGCCATCCATCATTCCTTCAATTCTGACCAGTTTCCCCAGTCCCTGCTGATGAAAAACATCCCCACAGCATGATGCTGCCACCACGCTTCACTTTGAGGATGGTGTTCTCGGGGTGATGAAAGGTGTTGGGTTTGCGCCAGACATAGGGTTTTCCTTGATGGCCAAAAAGCTCAATTTTAGTCTCATTTGACCAGAGTACCTTCTTCCATATGTTTGGGGAGTCTCCCACATGCCTTCTGGCGAACACCAAACGTGTTTACTTAAAAAGCAATTGCTTTTTTCTGGACACTCTTCCGTAAAGCCCAGGGCTGTGGAGTGTACGTCTTCAAGTGGTCCTATGGACAGATAGTCCAATCTCCGCAGTGGAGCTTTGCAGCTCCTTCAGGTTTATCTTTGGTGTCTTTGTTGCCTCTCTGATTAATGACCTCCTTGCCTGGTCTGTGAGTTTTGGTGGGCGGCCCTCTCTTGGCAGGTTTGTTGTGTTGCTGTATTCTTTCCATTTTATAATAATGGATTTAATGGTGCTCCGTGGGATGTTCAAAGTTTCTGATCTTTTTTTGAAACCCAACCCTGATCTGTATTTTCCACTACTTTGTCCCTGACCTGTTTGGAGAGCTCCTTGGTCTTCATGGTGCCGCTTGCTTGGTGGTGCCCCTTGCTTAGTGATGTTGCAGACTCTAGGGCCTTTCAGAACAGGTGTATATATACTGAGATCATGTGACACTTAGATTGCACACAATTATGTGACTTCTGAAGGTAATTGGTTGCACTAGATCTTATTTAGGGGCTTCATAGCAAAGGGGGTGAATACATATGCACGCACCACTTTTCCGTTATTTATTTTTTGAAACAAGTAATTTTTTTCATTTCACTTCACCAATTTTGACTATTTTGTGTATGTCCATTACATGAAATCCAAATAAAATCCATTTAAATTACAGGTTGTAATGCAACAAAATAGGAAAAATGCCAAGGGGGATGAATACTTTTGCAAGGCACTGTACATGCCTACCTCAATAAATCCAGTAGCCCTGCACATTGTATTGATGCTACTGGCACTGACCTTGTTTTCTTCTCGTATTTCACTTGTGTTCTTCTTCTTCTTATCGATATTACTACCTTTACTGTGCATTGTTGGGAAAGAACTTGCAAGTTAAGCATTTCACTGTACTGTTTTACACCTGCTGTATCCTGTGCATGTGACAATAAAACTCACTCACTAACTCCTGTTTGTGTTCAGCCGTACATTGTGGAGATCTGTGACAGCCTGCGAGGGATGATCTTCCGGAAGTTCATAGAGAGGTGAGACGGGGGAGAGGGAGGAGGAAGGTAGAATAAATATGTTGCATACTGGCCAGAATAATTAATTTTTTCATTGTCTCCAGATTTAGAAGAAAAGAGCTTTATTATCCATTCATCCATTTGTGTCGAAACGGAAATGAGTTTCTCCACAGTCAGTAGGGCGGGGACTCCTCTACCTCTCCAACCTCTACGCCAACTGCTTTCCTTCTTTCTATGTCTCTCTCTACCTCTCCAACCTCTAGGCTAACTGCTTTCCTTCTTTCTGTCTCTCTCTACCTCTCCAACCTCTAGGCCAACTGCTTTCCTTATTTCTATGTCTCGCTCTACCTCTCCAACCTCTAGGCCAACTGCTTTCCTTCTTTCTATGTCTCTCTCTACCTCTCCAACCTCTAGGCCAACTGCTTTCCTTCTTTCTGTCTCTCTCTACCTCTCCAACCTCTAGGCCAACTGCTTTCCTTCTTTCTATGTCTCTCTCTACCTCTCCAACCTCTAGGCCAACTGCTTTCCTTCTTTCTATGTCTCGCTCTACCTCTCCAACCTCTAGGCCAACTGCTTTCCTTCTTTCTGTCTCTCTCTACCTCTCCAACCTCTAGGCCAACTGCTTTCCTTCTTTCTGTCTCTCTCTACCTCTCCAACCTCTAGGCCAACTGCTTTCCTTCTTTCTATGTCTCTCTCTACCTCTCCAACCTCTAGGCCAACTGCTTTCCTTATTTCTGTCTCTCTCTACCTCTCCAACCTCTAGGCCAACTGCTTTCCTTCTTTCTGTCTCTCTCTACCTCTCCAACCTCTAGGCCAACTGCTTTCCTTCTTTCTGTCTCTCTCTACCTCTCCAACCTCTAGGCCAACTGCTTTCCTTCTTTCTATGTCTCTCTCTACCTCTCCAACCTCTAGGCCAACTGCTTTCCTTCTTTCTGTCTCTCTCTACCTCTCCAACCTCTAGGCCAACTGCTTTCCTTCTTTCTGTCTCTCTCTACCTCTCCAACCTCTAGGCCAACTGCTTTCCTTCTTTCTGTCTCTCTCTACCTCTCCAACCTCTAGGCTAACTGCTTTCCTTCTTTCTGTCTCTCTCTACCTCTCCAACCTCTAGGCCAACTGCTTTCCTTCTTTCTATGTCTCTCTCTACCTCTCCAACCTCTAGGCCAACTGCTTTCCTTCTTTCTATGTCTCGCTCTACCTCTCCAACCTCTAGGCCAACTGCTTTCCTTCTTTCTATGTCTCGCTCTACCTCTCCTCATTGTTCTTTTTTTCTCTCTCTTTCATCAGTGACAAGTTCACTCGTTTCTGCCAGTGGAAGAATGTGGAGCTGAACATCCATGTGAGTAGCGTTGTATTTTGTGTGCGTGGTATTGTAACTTACTGTATGGATCGTATTGATGTTTTGCCTGTGGAAGGCCTTTCTATGACCTCTTCTTATTGCCTACTGTCTGAAGTGTAACGTCATATCAGCTTCTTTCTCTTTCTCTCCATTTCGCTCTCTTTCTACATCTCCCTCTCTCTCTCACTTTTTTATCTCTCTCTCTCTCCTCTCTCCAGTTGACGATGAATGACTTCAGTGTCCATCGTATCATTGGTCGGGGGGGTTTCGGGGAGGTGTACGGCTGCAGGAAGGCTGACACTGGCAAGATGTGAGTATGCAGGAGCATAAACGAGTACCGAGAAAGAGGGATGGTTAAAGTGGAGAAAGTAAACATAAGAGCCAACCGGAACAATGGGCTCTCAGCAGTAGAGCACCAGTAAGGTCAAATACATGTTAATGATTGTGTGTGTATCAGGTATGCCATGAAGTGTTTGGATAAGAAGAGGATCAAGATGAAGCAGGGAGAGACTCTGGCTCTGAACGAGAGAATAATGCTGTCACTTGTCAGCACAGGGGTGAGTATAACACACACCTTTCTGTCCAGACTCTGTCTATACATATGTATATTCACATACACAGTGCAAAGGAGTATCATTTTCAGATTGACCTATGTCTGACATTATCTAAGCACATTTAAAACATCTATTCCCTCTTTCTTTCCCTCAACCCCTCCCGCTTTCTCTCTAGGACTGTCCGTTCATAGTGTGTATGACGTATGCCTTCCACACACCAGACAAACTCTGCTTCATTCTGGATCTGATGAACGGTAAGACTCCTGACCCCTGAAAGGTGAAAGGTCTCAACTAGTTTGACCTGCAGGTGAGACTCCAGTCACCAGGAGGAGTCTCATTGTAGAGGTCTGTCCCACTGAGGAGCATGTTGAAGTACACTGTCACACAGAATGGGACAGGGCATCACTGGTGGCTCTCTGCTCCCTCTGGGCTGACGCGCCACTCAGACAGTCTCTGGTGTGGGTGTGGGGGTTAAGAAGGCTGCAGCTCCAGACAATCTCTAATGGATTCAGTCTGCGGGTGGTAACACACTGACCATGGATCACATTTAGACAGCAGTTAACACACACACACTGACCATGGATCACATTTAGACAGCAGTTAACACACACACACTGACCATGGATCACATTTAGACAGCAGTTAACACACACACACTGACCATGGATCACATTTAGACAGCAGTTAACACACACACACTGACCATGGATCACATTTAGACAGCAGTTAACACACACACTGACCATGAATCACTTTTAGACAACACTTAAGACACACACACTGACCATGAATCACTTTTAGACAGCAGTTAACACACACACACTGACCATGAATCACTTTTAGACAACACTTAAGACACACACACTGACCATGAATCACTTTTAGACAGCAGTTAACACACACACACTGACCATGAATCACTTTTAGACAGCAGTTAACACACACACACTGACCATGAATCACTTTTAGACAACAGTTAAGACACACACACTGACCATGAATCACTTTTAGACAACAGTTAACACACACACACTGACCATGAATCAGGGTCCCCGGTAGCTCAGTTGGTAGAGCATGGCGCTTGCAACGCCAGGGTTGTGGGTTCGTTTCCCACGGGGGGCCAGTATGAAAATGTATGCACTCACTAACTGTAAGTCGCTCTGGATAAGAGCGTCTGCTAAATGACTAAAATGTTAAAATGTAAAATGGATCACATTTAGACAGCAGTTAACATAATGACTGAGCTATCGATTAGACTATAGCTCTGAACATTCACTATGATATCACTGTGTGCTGCCTTATTCTGTGTGTGTGTGTCTTGGGGGGGGAATCTAGATCATACTGATAAATTGGGTCATACTTCTTATTAGGTCATGCTGACTCACCCCTGTGTGTGGGAAGGGACGGTTACACTCAGCACGATATTTTCAGTGACTGGTATTAACTGTGTGTTTGTTTGTGTGTGTGTGTATGTAGTAGGGGGCCTGTGTTACCACCTGTCTCAACACACTGTGTTCAGTGACTGTTTTTCCCCCTCTGTGTGTGTGTGTGTGTGTGTGTGTGTGTGTGTGTGTGTGTGTGTAGTAGGGGGCCTGTGTTACTACCTGTCTCAACACACTGTGTTCAGTGACTGTTTTTTCCCCCTCTGTGTGTGTGTGTGTAGGAGGGGACCTGCACTACCACCTGTCTCAGCACACTGTGTTCAGTGACTGTTTTTCCCCCTCTGTGTGTGTGTGTGTGTGTAGTAGGGGGCCTGTGTTACCACCTGTCTCAGCACACTTTGTTCAGTGACTGTTTTTTCCCCCTCTGTGTGTGTGTGTGTAGGAGGGGACCTGCACTACCACCTGTCTCAGCACACTTTGTTCAGTGACTGTTTTTTCCCTCTGTGTGTGTGTGTGTAGGAGGGGACCTGCACTACCACCTGTCTCAGCATGGTGTGTTCAGTGAGAAGGAGATGCGTTTCTATGCAGCAGAGATCATCCTGGGACTAGAACACATGCACAACCGCTTCGTAGTCTACAGAGACCTCAAGGTAGGGCACTCCATACCTCCTTTTAATCACCTCCCCCCTCTTTCTGTTTTTTCTGTCTACATAGACCTCAGACTGGTGTATACCTCCTTTATTTTTATTGATCCTTCCCTCACATTCTCATCTCATCTCTCTCTCTCTCTCTCTCTCTCTCTGTCTCTCTATCTCTCTCTCTCTCTCCTCTCTCTCTCTCCTCTCTCTCTCTCTCTCTCTCTCTCTCTCTCTCTCTCTCTCTCTCTCTCTCTCTCTCTCTCTCTCTCTCTCTCTCTCTCTCTCTCTGGACAATGTGGACATCTGTCTTAATTTGTTCCTCTCCTGTGTTATTGATTCCCATGAATTGAGTACTAACGAGTCACGAGCGGACATTGACGACAGACCAAATCAATAAGCACATTCTAAGAACTGTTAACAGATGCTTCTACTTGGGCCTGGTTGCCGTTAGTAACAGTGTTGAGATATGGAGTCTGTGCAGAATCAGAGAGCACCTTTATAACTAGTGATAAACACACATTTCTCATGGGAAGGCTTCTTAGGAAATATAGCGTGCACAGGCAGTTTTGGGACAGAATAGCGTGTGTGTGTGTGCTACTAGATTTAGTAGCTGGGTCAAATGGCTGAAGATAAGCAGTATACTTCCTGTAAATGATGAGAAAGGGAGAGATGCGACACTCCAAATTCACATGTTTTCATTTCAGTTGATGTCCGTTGATCAAGTTGTAAACAGAAGTGCTGCTATGATATGCTGGCTGGCCCAGCAATGGAAGATATGATGATATTAGACTTGTTGACCTCTAGTCTAACTCGCGCTCTCTTCATGTCAAAGCCAAGTTCTTCTAAAGTTATTTGTTGTTTCCTACATAGTTATCGATGTCAATAACCTCTTCCTCCCTCTCTCTCTCTCTCTCTCTCTCTCTCTCTCTCTCTCTCTCTCTCTCTCTCTCTCTCTCTCTCTCTCTCTCTCTCTCTCTCTCTCTCTCTCTCTCTCTCTCTCTCTCTCTCTCTCTCTCTCTTTCAGCCTGCTAACATCCTATTGGATGAGCATGGTCATGTGCGTATCTCAGACCTGGGTCTGGCCTGTGACTTCTCCAAGAAGAAACCTCACGCCAGCGTGTGAGTACACTGCCCTGTGTGTGTGCAGCCCTACATAGTAGGGGTCCAACACACACACACACACACACACCCTACCCCTGTTCTATTATTATGATAACCATGACCATTGGTATTTATGTGTGTGGTATTACTGCAGTGTGTATGATACTAACAGTCTCCTGGTGTGTTACAGTGGTACCCATGGGTACATGGCCCCAGAGGTGCTTCAGAAGGGGACGGCGTATGACAGCAGTGCTGACTGGTTCTCACTGGGCTGCATGCTCTTCAAACTGCTCCGAGGGTAAGGTCACACACACATACACCTCCCTCTCTTGTCTCTCCATCCCGCCTCTATTCATCCACCTCTCTATATCCTTTCATCACTACTACATCCCCTCCTCTATCATTCTTTCTGCCCTTCCATCTCTCTCTCCACCCACTACCACATGTTACTCAATCTCTCTCTCTGTTGGTCAGACCGCTGCATCCCCTCATATCTCTCTAATTTCTCTCCCTTAATCTCTCTACCCCTGTGATCCCTCCTTCCAGCCTTGATTGGATCTCTCTCTCTCTCTCTCTCTCTCTCTCTGTTATCTGTTACTCTTTTTGTATTTTCTGTGTCTGTCCCTCTCACCCACTCCCTATCTCTTTTTCTGTGTGTTTTGATGTGGAGTGTGTAAATGCCAGAGGTCTGGGCCCAGTAGGTCACACATCAGAGGGAGGCAGGGTTTGGGGGCCAGTAACGATTGCTAGGTATGGTGTGAAGCGAGGGAGTGAGAAAGAGTGTCAGTGCATTTGAACACGTCAAAGACGAGAGCGAGAGGGAGAGCAAGAGATGTAAGTGTGATCTGCTTTGGCATACTTGATCTGCTGAGGACTAGCTTGTCAGTGTGACATCACTCACATGACTTCTTTCACTGTTTCACCGTTTCCCACACTCTTTCCCTCCTTCCAGCTCCCCCCACTACAGTAACACTAACAGCCAGTCTCTCTTCCTCTCTATTTTCTCTCTAGGCACAGTCCCTTCAGACAGCACAAGACCAAAGACAAACATGAGATTGACCGCATGACGCTCACTATGGTAAGGCCTCCTTATGCGCACACAAACACACGCTATGATAGATCTTTGTGTACACTACAGTGCACACACACACACACATACATTGGGATGTCCTTATGCGCACTAGAACACACGGCATGTGGTTAGTCCATGTTGACACAGAACACATATACAGTACCAGTCAAAAGTTTGGACACCTACTCATTCCAGGGCTTTTCTTTACTATTTTCTACATTGTAGAATAATAGTGAAGACATCAAAGCTATGAAATAACACATATGGAATTTATATAGTAACCAAAAAGGTGTTAAGTGTTATATTTTAGATTCTTCAAAGTAGCCACGCTTTGCCTTGATGACAGCTTTGCACACTCTTGGCATTCTCTCAACCAGCTTCACCTGGAATGCTCTTCCAACATTCTTGAACGAGTTCCCACATATGCTGAGCACTTGTTGGCTGCTTTTCCTTCATTCTGTGGTCCAACTCATCCCAAACCATCTCAATACGGTTGAGGTCGGGTGATTGTGGAGGCCAGGTCATCTGATGCAGCATTCCATCACTCTCCTTCTTGGTCAAATAGCCCTTACACAGCCTGGAGGTGTGTTGGGTCATTGTCCTGTTGAAAAACAAATGAGCTGTCATCAAGTCAAAGGGTGGCTACTTGTTTTGTTTAACACTTTTTTGGTTACTACATGATTCCATATGTGTTATTTCATAGCTTTGATGTCTTCACTATTATTATACAGTGTAGAAAATAGTAAAAATTAAGAAAAACCCTTGAATGAGTAGGTGTGTCCAAACTTTTGACTGGTACTGTGTATGTGTGTATGTATGTATGTGTATATATATGTAGGTCCTCCAGAAAGTATTCATACCCCTTGATTTATTCAACATTGTTGTTACAGCCTGAATTCAAAATGGATTAAGTAGATTTAAAAAAGTCTCACTCATCTACACACAATGCCCCATAATGGAAAAAGTGAAAACATGTTTTTAGAAATGTTTGCAAATGTATTGAAAAGGAAATGAAGAAATATCTCATTTACATAAGTATTCACACCCCTGAGTGAGTTCTTTGTAGAATCACCTTTTGCAGCCATTACAGCTCTGAGTCTTTCTGGGTAAGTCTCTAAGAGCTTTCCACACCTGGATTGTGCAACATTCGGCCATTATTCTTTTCAAAAATGTTCAAGCTCTGTCAAATTGGTTGTTTATCATTGCTAGATAACCATTTACATGTCTTGCCATAGATTTTCAAGTAGATTTAAGTCAAAACTGTAGCTCTGCCACTCAAGAACATTTACTGTCTTCTTTGCAAGCAACTCCACTGTAGATTTGGCCTTGTGTTTTAGGTTATTGTTCTGCTGAAAGTTGAATTCATCTCCCAGTGTCTGGTGTAAAGCAGACTGAACCAGGTTTTCCTCTAGGATTTTGCCTGTGCTTAGCTCCATTCCATTAATTATTTTATCCTGAAAAACTCCCCAGTCCTTAACAATTACAAACATACCCGTAATATGATGCAGCTACCACTATGCTTGAAAATTCGGAGAGTAGTACTCAGTGATGTTTTGTATTGGATTTGCCCCAAACATAACACTTTGTATTCAGGACTAAAGGTAAATAGCTTTGCCACATTTCTTACAGTATTACATTTGACATTTTAATCATTTAGCAGACGCTCTAATCCAGAGCGACTTAGTTAGTGCATTTATTAAGTACATTTTTCCTCAATAAAGTACTCAAAACAGTAAAGTACGAGTGTTAGTTCAAATAGGATGCATGTTTTGGAATATTTTTCATTCTGTACAGGCTTCCTTTTCACTCTGTCAATTAGGTTAGTATTGTGGAGTAACTACAATGTTGTTGATCCATCCTCAGTTTTCTCCTATCACAGCCATTAAACTCTGTAACTGTTTTAAAGTCACCATTGGCCTCATGTTGAAATCCCTGAGTGGTTTCCTTCCTCTCCGGCAACTGAGTTAGGAAGGACACCTGCATCTTTGTAGTGACTGGGTATATTGATACACCATCCAAAGTATAATTAATAACTTCACCATGCTCAAAGGGATATTCAATGTCTGCTTTTTTATTTTTCCTTCTTTGCAAGGCATTGAAAAACCTCCCTGGTCTTTGTGGTCGAATCTGTGTTTTAAATTCACTGCTGGACTGGGGGACCTTACAGATAAGGGACCTTACAGTGTCGGGTACAGAGATGAGGTAGTCATTCAAAAATCATGTTAAACACTGTTATTGCACACAGAGTGAGTCCATACTACTTATTATGTGACTTGTTAATCACATTACTCCTTAACTTATGTAGGCTTGCCATAACGAAGGGGTTGAATACATTCACTCAAGCGATTTCAGCTTTTCATTTGTATTAATTTGTACAAATATTAAATGATAATAACATAAATCCACTGACATTATGGGGTATTGTGTGTAGGCCAGTGACAAAACTTCTCAGTTTTAATAAATTTTGTATTCCGGCTTTAACACAACAACATGTGGAAAAAGTCGAGGGGTGTGAATACTTTCTGAAGGTACTGTACACTCATAATAAGGATTTATCCTTAAATACACTGAAACATAAGCGCGTAACACACACCCCTACAGCATTACATATCCTGGAGATATCATCTTCACAGATGTTGCAGAAAACCTCCTGCCAAGTCTCTGTCTCATAATGCCCAGGGAATGAGAGCGAGGCAGGAGGGCGAGAGCGGGAGAATTGAGAAGAGGTTCTGGCAGGAAAGAGGGCGAATTTGCATCCCTCTCTCTTCCTGCTACAAACCGCATAAGATTACACCACAGAGAGAGAGGCATAGAGAGAGAGCGTGTGTGTCTCCTAGCATAGACTACGAGGGGAGGTCTAGACGAGCGGTGCCAGACCCTCTTGGGAAGCTACCCTCCCGCAGGGTTTCGTTGCAGCTACTCCTCAGGACCACGATTAGCTGAATCAGGTGTTAGAGCGGGGCTGGAACAAAAACCTGCACATCCATTAGTTCTCCTGGAAGAGGGTTGGTCACACCTGGTCTTGACTAGAGTATGTCTACTTCAGACTAGAAGGTCTGCCTCAGTAGACTGTGGAGTATCAGAGCAGAGAGAACACACACCAGCCCTCTGTTAGGAGGGGGCTAAACAAGGAAAGCATCGTCAATCGAGATTAAATCCAGATTAGGTTTTAATCCAGCCACTTAATCGGAGTAATCTATATAATCCCTGTATCTCCCCCTCTCTCTGTCTGTTCTCCATAGCTAGTTATGTTTAGGAATTCTGATTTAATGGTTTTATAAGATCAACATGAGATCACCACCAAAGGTAGAGGGCTTGGAATGAGAGCAAATTATGGTGGAGGATTGAGTGGACATACAATGGAACTAACAAGGAATGATGGATCACACATTCTCTTCTTCCCTCTCCATTTTCAGTACATATTGAATAAGCTTTATTGTCATGATAAATCAAGTCAGTATCTTATGTTGTTAAAGCAGGAAATGATACTAATCTCCTCCTCTCTTTATCGCTATCTCTTTCTCTCTCCTCTCTGTAGAATGTGGAGTTGCCCGACTCGTTCTCTGTGGAGTTGAAGGGTCTATTGGAGGGTCTGCTCCAGAGAGACGTGGTGAAAAGACTGGGCTGCCTGGGACGAGGGTACACACCCACACCCTGCTACCACTAACATTGTTTTACAATCATTGATGTTAATGTTAGGTTTTAGCTGAGTAAAGAAACTTCAACCTTGGACTGCATACTCCTTAAACAGTTTTTAACTGTTCTGGGCTAGCCATTGTTTTTCAGTGCACCAATAGAGTTACCATGCACCTGTGCTGAGCAACATGATTTAACATTTCCATTGCTTCTCTGTCCAACCTTGTGGAGGGTATAAGGCCTAGTGCGAATACTATGAAAGGCCAATAAGATATAATAGTCTGTAACCTAGTTTGGAGAGCACAGTTCAATTTGGAGTTTGGTTCTCTGTTGGAAATACTGCCACCTGCTGTTAGGACGTGGAACTGTTCCAACGTGAGAATGACCTGGCTTTTTCTCTCTCGCTTTTTCTCTCTCGCTCCCTCTCCACACACACACACACACACACACACACACACACAGGGCCCCAGAGGTGAAGGAGCATCTGTTCTTCAAAGGCATTGACTGGCAGCAAGTGTATCTCCAGAAGGTAAGGCGTGTGTGTTGAATCAGGTGACCAGGTTCATTATAAAGCCTCCCAGTCTGGACAGTCGTCCGTGCTCTCTCGTTCTCTCTATCTGTTGCCATGGTTACTCCTCTGCTGTAGGAGTGTAGTAGTTGTTGTGTTGTTCACTCACCCTCTTTTTTTCCTCTCCTTTTATACTCATCCACCTTTCTCTCTTCCTTCTCCTCCTCCTCCCTCTCTCCTCTCCTCCAGTATTCTCCCCCTCTCATCCCTCCTAGAGGAGAGGTAAATGCAGCAGATGCTTTTGACATCGGTTCCTTTGACGAGGAGGACACCAAGGGCATCAAGGTAAAGCTCAAACACACACACACACAACCCTTATCTCATGAAACCACCAAGAGCATCAAAGTAAAATCCACAGCATTATATAACAGCTAAACCCGTAATCCTGATATTCACACTCACCTACATCATACTGCAACCACACATGCACACAGACACGGAGGCTGAGGTGTAACGTGACTCCATCAGTGTTAAGAGAGAAAGTCCTTCCAGCAGAGGTTTAACATTACACAACAGTATTAGGGACTTTGGGAGCGTTCCAGGTTGCCTTAATTACAGTGGTGCTGCACAGCTTAGCAGATCTCAAGGACTGGTGACGTGGTTAACTCAGGAGTTAGCCTCATACCTCATACCTGTGTCGTTTCTCTCTCTCATTCTCTCTCACTCCCCTCTCTCTCCCTTTCTTCCACCTCTCTCCCCTCTCCCTCCCTCTGATTCTCTCCAGTTGTTGGACAGTGACCAGGAGCTGTATAAGAACTTCCCCCTGGTAATCTCAGAGCGCTGGCAGCAGGAGGTGGCTGAGACGGTGTACGAGGCGGTCAACTCTGACACGGACAAGAACGAGGCCCGCAAGAGGGCCAAGAACAAACAGCTGGGCCACGAGGAGGGTAAGGAGGAGAGACGCACACAGAGAGACACAGCTACACAAACACACACACATCTACACAAAAACACACACAACGCACATCTACACAAACACACACATCTACACAAACACACACATAACGCACATCTACACAAACACACACATAACGCACATCTACACAAACACACACATAACGCACATCTACACAAACACACACATAACGCACATCTACACAAACACACACATAACGCACATCTACACAAACACACACATAACGCACATCTACACAAACACACACACAGTGCACATCTACACAAACACACACACAATGCACATCTACACAAACACACAGTGCACATCTACACAAACACACGACGCACATCTACACAAACACACACACACGACGCACATCTACACAAACACACACACACGACGCACATCTACACATCTACACACACACAATGCACATCTACACAAACACAAAACACACATCTACACAAACACACATCTACACAAACACACACCACACATCTACACAAACACACACATCTACACACACAACAAACATCTACACAAACATACACAACACACATCTACACAACCACACACAACGCACATCTACACAAACGCACATACGACGCACATCTACACAAACGCACATTACACACACATCTATACAAACACACACAACACTACACAAACACACACAAGACACATCTACACAACACACAAGACACATCTACACAAACACACAAGACACATCTACACAAACACACAAGACACACATCTACACAAACACACAAGACACACATCTACACAAACAAACACACACACGACGCACATCTACACAAACACACACACACACACAACGCACATCTACACAAACACACACAACGCACATCTACACATCTACACACACACAATGCACATCTACACAAAGACACAACACACATCTACACAACACACATCTACACAAACACACACCAACACATGATTACACAAAAAACACACTCAACAATCTACACAAACCACACCAAAACAATTATACACAAACAACAAACCAACCCACACATCTACCAACAATAAAACCACCCCAACACATAAACCAACAAACACACACAAAACCACACATCTACACCCAAACACAACACAACAACACAACATCTACACCAAATACACAACACCAAACATCTAACACACAACCACACACCACACCCATCTACACAAACACAACACACGCACAATCTACACAAACACACAGGACACACAATCTACATAGCCACAACACACGACAACACATCTAACCACAAAAACACCAGAACACACATTACCACAAACACACCTTACACAAACAACACCCACAACACTTATCTACACAAAACACACCATTACACATCTACACAAAAACAACCCAAACACCACCTTACACAAACAACACATCAACACAACCTACACAAACATACACAATCTACACACAAACACACATCTACACCAACACAACACCACATCTACACAAACATACGCGACAAACATCTACACAAACACACACACTACGCACATCTACACAAACCCACACACGACGCACATCTACATAAACACACACAAGACACACATCTACACAGACACACACAACACACAACACACATCTACACAAACACACAAGACACACATCTACACAAACACACACACGACGCACATCTACACAAACACACACACACGACACACATCTACACAAACACACACGACGCACATCTACACAAACACACAACGCACATCTACACACAACGCACATCTACACACACACACAACCCACATCTACACAAACACACATAATGCACATCTACACATCTATACAAACACACAACACACATCTATACAAACACACATCTACACAAACACACAACACACATCTACACAAACACACACCACACATCTACACAAACACACAACACACATCTACACAAACACACAACACACATCTACACAACACACATCTACACAGACACACACACCACACATCTACACAGACACACACGACACATGTACACAGACACACACAACACACATGTACACAGACACACACAACACACATGTACACAGACACACATGACACACATCTACACAAACGCGACGCACATCTACACAAACACACAACGCACATCTACACAAACACATATCTACACAAACACACACGACGCACATCTACACAAACACACACATAACGCACATCTACACAAACACACACATAACGCACATCTACACAAACACACACATAACGCACATCTACACAAACACACACAGTGCACATCTACACAAACACACACACACAATGCACACTTACACAAACCACACAGTGCACATCTACACAAAACACACGACGCACATTACACAAACACACACACACGACGCACATCTACACATCTACACACACACAATGCACATCTACACAAAGACACAACACACATCTACACAACACACATCTACACAAACACACACCACACATCTACACAAACACACCACACATCTACACAAACACACCACACATCTACACAAACACACACAACACACATCTACACAAATACACACCCCACACATCTACACAAACACACACAACACACATCTACACAAACACACACAACACACATCTACACAAATACACACAACACACATCTACACAAACACACACCACACATCTACACAAACACACACAACGCACATCTACACAAACACACATGACACACATCTACATAGACACACACAAGACACACATCTACACAAACACAGAACACACATCTACACAACACACCTACACAAACACACACAACACATATCTACACAAACACACATTACACATCTACACAAACACACAACACACCTACACAAACACACACAACACACCTACACAAACATACACATCTACACAAACACACATCTACACACACAACACACATCTACACAAACATACGCGACAAACATCTACACAAACACACACACTACGCACATCTACACAAACCCACACACGACGCACATCTACATAAACACACACAAGACACACATCTACACAGACACACACAACACACAACACACATCTACACAAACACACAAGACACACATCTACACAAACACACACACGACGCACATCTACACAAACACACACACACGACGCACATCTACACAAACACACACGACGCACATCTACACAAACACACAACGCACATCTACACACAACGCACATCTACACACACACACAACCCACATCTACACAAACACACATAATGCACATCTACACATCTATACAAACACACAACACACATCTATACAAACACACATCTACACAAACACACAACACACATCTACACAAACACACAACACACATCTACACAAACACACAACACACATCTACACAAACACACAACACACATCTACACAACACACATCTACACAGACACACACACCACACATCTACACAGACACACACGACACATGTACACAGACACACACAACACACATGTACACAGACACACACAACACACATGTACACAGACACACACGACACACATCTACACAAACGCGACGCACATCTACACAAACACACAACGCACATCTACACAAACACATATCTACACAAACACACACGACGCACATCTACACAAACACACACCGCACATCTACACAAACACACAACATACATCTACACAAACACACAAAACACACATCTACACAAACACACACAACGCACATCTACACAAACACACACAACGCACATCTACACAAACACACACACAACGCACACAATTATGTTATATTGCAGTCTTTCTACTGATTTGTACGGATGATATGAGTTGTGATATAACAAAACACTTGGAACACAGTACGCACTGTGGAACATACTGTTGTTTTTATAACTGTGTAGCCCTACCTCACACACATCATGTGGGTAGTCTTTTCCTTGTACCTGCTGACGCTGGGTTTGTTTATTTTCTGGTAATGGTGTTAATGGTGTATTTAATGTGTGCGTTTCAGACTATGCCCTGGGGAAGGACTGTATAATGCATGGCTACATGTTGAAGCTGGGTAACCCCTTCCTGACGCAGTGGCAGCGCAGATACTTCTACCTGTTCCCCAACCGAGTGGAGTGGAGGGGAGAGGGAGAGTCACGGGTGAGCAACACACACCTCTACTTTACCCCATCCCCTGTCTGTGTGTCTAAGTTGTGTCTAAGTTGTGTATTCAGTTTGTGTGCTTCTGTTCTTCACGTATGTGGTTGTCTGTCTGTCTGTGTGTTTCCACGTACAAGCATGTGCTTCCATGGGTGTGTAAGTGTGTGTATTCTTCGTTATTGTCCATCTGTCTGTCAGTGCATGAAGGTTGTCTGTCCTCGCTCCATTCTGTAGGCCTGGATAAAAACATTAAAACATACTGTAAAAGATCCAAAGGTAAGTCTGACCACTGCTGGCCCACCCTCCTCCTCTCCTCCTGCAGTGGTCCAGTAGATGGATTGGAATAGCTCCTCAGTTTTAAAGCTTTGCTACCAGACAGCCTTAGTTTAGAGAAGCGTCCTTCCTCTCCAGCTCATTTCCAAAGACCCCTCTCCTCTATAGCTCCATTTTGATTGGTCCATCTCGTAGCCAGCTTGTCTGTGATTGATTCCTCTCCTCCCCAAAGTGAATTTCTGATTGGTTGGTGTATGTTCAACAGCAAAACCTGCTGACGATGGAGCAGATTGTGACGGTGGAGGAGACACAGATAAAAGATAAGAAGTGCATCCTGCTGCGCATCAAAGGAGGGAAGCAGTTTGTCTTGCAGTGTGAGGTATGTAGGAAAACTACTAGATCTCTCTTTCTCCCCCCTTCTCGCTCCCTCTTTCTGTCTCTTCCTCGGTCTCTTCCTCTGTCCCTCGGTCTCTTCCTCTGTCCCTCCGTCTCTTCCTCTGTCCCTCTGTCTCTTCCTCTGTCCCTCTGTCTCTTCCTCTGTCCCTCGGTCTCTTCCTCTGTCCCTCTGTCTCTTCCTCTGTCCCTCAGTCTCTTCCTCTGTCCCTCGGTCTCTTCCTCTGTCCCTCTGTCTCTTCCTCTGTCCCTCTGTCTCTTCCTCTGTCCCTCGGTCTCTTCCTCTGTCCCTCGGTCTCTTCCTCTGTCCCTCTGTCTCTTCCTCTGTCACTCTGTCTCTTCGTCTCTATAAATGCATGTATAAATGATTGTACAAGTGGTAAGTTAGTAAAATGGAAGGTGTGTGTTATGTTGGTGTAATATGTGTGTTCTCTGTCTCTCTGCAGAGTGACCCAGAGTTTGTCCAGTGGAAGAAGGAGCTGACCGAGGCGTTTACTGAGGCCCAGAAGCTGCTGTGTCGCGCCCCTAAGGTCATTGGGAAGGGTCGGGCTGGGGTGGTGGAGCTCTCCAAACCTCCTCTCACACACCGCAACAGCAATGGCCTGTAGGCAATACACACACAACACACACCTGCACACACACACCGCATCCTATAACCTCATCCCCTATGACCATTCCCCCCACAGCCCTAGACACACAAACCACACACACACACACACACACACACACACACACACACACACACACACACACACACACACACACACACACACATACAGTAACACCCCACACTCTCACCCTGGAGTGTGTATGGACCAAGCCTGCCAGCCTCTCTCCTCTGAAAGCCAAACCGTGCATTGATGAAGGGAAAGAAGAGAAACACTGCATGTACTTAAAGAGGACCAGAGCGTTTTCTCCCTCTCCCACTGTACCCTGGGGGTAGACCCTTCTCTGATGCCACACCACAAACCCCTTTGCCTCTCGCCCCAATGGACTAGCATTCCACACAGCCAACCTCACACACACCCACTCAACCTGGCAGAGCAGCAAAAACCAGACCTGGAGTAGGAGAGTGAAGACTAGGGCACCTGCCTGCACCTCTCCTCCTTTACTCTACATCCCTCCCTCATCCCCCAGCCTCGTCTTGAGACTGGTCCTGAGCCACACACACCTCTGCCGGCCACTCTTCACAGGATTGTCTGACTGTAGTGGAGGGGCGGGGCGGGACCTAAAGCAGAAGGTGAAGATCTGGACAAATGGCATCGTTTAGAGGGAGGGGGCTGGACCAATGACATTCCTCTCCTGTGTGCTCATACAGCGGGGAGGAGAGAAAAGCAGAAGCATAGTGGAAGGAGAACAGGAGCAGAGACCTGCTGGGACATACCAAGAGAATGGCAATGAACTGTGTGTGTGCGTGTGTGTACGCTATTGTCCCTGTGTGTTTCTGTGTGTGTCCAGAGATAGGTTGCATTCCTTTTAGAGAGAATGTCAAAAGAGAGGGAGAAAGCTGATTTGAATTTGGAAGAGACCTTTACCCTTTCTTCTTGTCCTCCCTCCATCACTGAAGTGCATAAAGTGCCATCGTCAATATTTACTTGAGTCACCTGAGGACCCGTTTGAAAGCAGGCATCGCCCCCGGATACAGAACCCACTGGCACGGAACTCTTGTCACCATGGACAAACTTCTCCGATTGGCTCCTGTATAGCTGCTGGTAACCATGGAGACTGGAGAACATTTGTACTCGTAACTATAGGAACAGGGGATGGTGTGTATGAAGGACACACCGTCAAACCGAGAGAAAAAGAGAGAGAGATGGGGGGGGGGGGGGGTGTACTGACTGACTGACTAGCGGTCTTTATGGGCCATAGTAAGTGTATATAGCCCAAGTCTTTCTCTGTGCATCTCCTGTATACTACAGTACTACTCTACAACATGTTTGCATTAATGGACACTTGTCTGTCTGCCTGTCTGTGAATCTGTCCTCTTATCAATGGGCATGTGGGGTGGGGAGGGGAGGGAAGGGAGGGGAGGGAAGGGAGGGTCTGACGGCTTTCAATCAACTGGCAGTGTGCATACCTCAGTGGGACTGTGTGTGCGCGTATGTGAAGCTGAGGGCCAAATACTGTGCTGTGTGTGATGGTGTCAGGGCAGTCCTAATTTGTGTGTATGCCATAGTCTTGCAGCCATCCAGATGTAGATTACACACAGACACACACAAGCAGATTTACACACACAGACACACAGAAATGGCCGTATAAGGATGTCAGTGCAGAGAGAGAGGTGGTAGGTGACGAGGTGTGTTAGGTTGTGGTCGTTGTTGACTCCACAAACCATCAGTTGGTTCACTTCAAGCTGGTTTGAACTTTCCTATAAAAAAATTCTGAATGTGACCCAGAATGCAGCCCCATATTTCTAGGCTTTATGTTTCACAGTTTTAGGAGAAGCAGTTGTGCTGCAGGCTACAGTCATGACATGTCTGTTTAACTGAATGACATGAAAGCACAGCTGGGAGATGTTTTAGAAAAGAGAGGGGGAAGAGGTGAAACAATTTGTTCACTCAATTGTAATTTCAGGGTTTTGTTTTTTCATGCAGTACAATGGGGGGGGGGGGTGTATTTGTGTAAGGGGTGTTGATATTCTTAGTAGCCTTTACAAGTCAGTCAGGGGGAAGTGATGTCGTTTTAGAGATACCAGTCACCTTTTTTTCTTTTTTTAAAAACAAATGAATGGGTTTTGTTTAGTTTTTGTTGAAACTACTTTGTCGCACCTTTTTTAGGCCAATGTGTTACTTGATGTTCAATGTGCCAAATACCTGTCGCTGATTGTCTGGCTGTTCTGGACCAATGAGAATTCTACTCTCTCAACTTTGACCCCTCACAGCACCAGCTTTTGGCCACACACACACACAACCCCTGAATCTGAGGAATATGTGTATTTTAAAGGGTACAAAACTAACCAAACTGGTGCTGTGGAACAAAGTGTGTGAGGAGAGGTGTTTGTGTTTGTCCTAGCATGGAGTGAATCTGGCTTTCAGCACCTTTACTTGTTACACACGCAGGGCTTGGTTGTAATGGGTTTATTTGTGTGTGTGCGTGTGCTGCATTCAATCGCTTGTCAGTATGTTTATTTAGTGGAGATGTTTTTGTCAAACAAACACACACACACAAACTAGATAATGAAAAAGGATGGCATATAGGGAGGAGAAAAAAACTAACAAAAATTAAAGTATATATATTCATACATATATTCATATGTATATGTGTATATATATTAATATGTGTGTGTATATATGTATGTGTGTATGTATGAATATATATATATATGTATGAATATATGTGTATATGAAATGACAAATGCTCTAGGATTATTTAAAAAGATTTAACGATGTAGACTTATGTTCAGATGACGATGCGCTGGGGAAGGGTTGGGGTTTTGATGTATATTAATCTGTTTGTGGTGAAGACATTGGCTCGGATCTTGCACATAAAGACTTCAGCTATTGTACCTGCGAGTTACCAGATGATTATTTTTGTTTGAATACCAGACTCTTGCTCTTTCATATTTATTGTGTGTTTTGGGGAAATGTCGCCTCCTGTCTACGAGCTCACGCCAGAGGTCTCGCTGTAGAAAACTGGTTCATACACATCAAACTCTTACATGTACCACAAACAAACACAAATACTACTGGCTTTGGGTGACTATTACCATTGAGGTTATGATGACGACAATGATCATTATTATTGATAATATTATTCAATAATTGTTATAAAATGTATTTTATTTTAATGAATTTTGTTTTATTGTTTTCAAGACAGGTAGAGCATACGTGTTGGACTGCTTATATAAAACAGTTCAGAAATAAATAAAAATACTTTTTTCGTGTTGCTTTGTGTGATTTGTTGACCTGTTGAGCCACTACAGTACACTACATATAATACACTGCTCAAAAAAATAAAAGGAACACTAAAATAACACATCCTAGATCTGAATGAATGAAATAATGTTATTAAACACTTTTTTCTTTACATAGTTGAATGTGCTGACAACAACATCACAAAAATTATCAATGGAAATCAAATGAATCAACCCATGGAGGTCTGGATTTGGAGTCACACTCAAAATTAAAGTGGAAAACCACACTACAGGCTGATCCAACGTTGATGTAATGTCCTTAAAACAAGTCAAAATGAGGCTCAGTAGTGTGTGTGGCCTCCACGTGCCTGTATGACCTCCCTACAACGCCTGGGCATGCTCCTGATGAGGTGGCGGATGGTCTCCTGTGGGATCTCCTCCCAGACCTGGACTAAAGCATCCGCCAACTCCTGGACAGTCTGTGGTGCAACGTGGCGTTGGTGGATGGAGCGAGACATGATGTCCCAGATGTGCTCAATTGGATTCAGGTCTGGGGAACGGGCGGGCCAGTCCATAGCATCAGTGCCTTCCTCTTGCAGGAACTGCTGACACACTCCAGCCACATGAGGTCTAGCATTGTCTTGTATTAGGAGGAACACAGGGCCAACCGCACCAGCATATGGTCTCACAAGGGGTCTGAGGATCTCATCTCGGTACCTAATGGCAGTCAGGCTACCTCTGGCGAGCACATGGAGGGCTGTGCGGCCCCCCAAAGAAATGCCACCCCACACCATGACTGACCCACCGCCAAACTGGTCATGCTGGAGGATGTTGCAGGCAGCAGAACGTTCTCCACGGCATCTCCAGACTGTCACGTCTGTCACGTGCTCAGTGTGAACCTGCTTTCATCTGTGAAGAGCACAGGGCGCCAGTGGCGAATTTGCCAATCTTGGTGTTCTCTGGCAAATGCCAAACGTCCTGCACGGTGTTGGGCTGTAAGCACAACCCCCACCTGTGGACGTTGGGCCCTCATACCACCCTCATGGAGTCTGTTTCTGACCGTTTGAGCAGACACATGCACATTTGTGGCCTGCTGGAGGTCATTTTGCAGGGCTCTGGCAGTGCTCCTCCTTGCACAAAGGCGGAGGTAGCAGTCCTGCTGCTGGGTTGTTGCCCTCCTACGGCCTCCTCCACGTCTCCTGATGTACTGGCCTGTCTCCTGGTAGCGCCTCCATGCTCTGGACACTACGCTGACAGACACAGCAAACCTTCTTGCCACAGCTCGCATTGATGTGCCATCCTGGATGAGCTGCACTACCTGAGCCACTTGTGTGGGTTGTAGACTCCGTCTCATGCTACCACTAGAGTGAAAGCACCGCCAGCATTCAAAAGTGACCAAAACATCAGCCAGGAAGCATAGAAACTGAGAAGTGGTCTGTGGTCACCACCTGCAAAACCAGTCCTTTATTGGGGGTGTCTTGCTAATTGCCTATAATTTCCACCTGTTGTCTATTCCATTTGCACAACAGCATGTGACATTTATTGTCAATCAGTGTTGCTTCCTAAGTGGACAGTTTGATTTCACAGAAGTGTGATTGACTTGGAGTTACATTGTGTTGTTTAAGTGTTCCCTTAATTTTTTGGAGCAGTGTATAATGAAATCAAAGGGAAGTTAAGAATTGCTATGAGTTAAAGGTATTACGTGTAACAATTCAACAACAAACCCTCTCTTGTTGTTAAGTTGCCTGGGGCCAG